CCGGAAGGGGATGAGGATGGCTGTTTTCTTTTACTAGTTCACTTCTCCCCACCCAGAATAAAAGGGGGGGGGGGGCTTTCCTCCACTGTGTCTAACGGTGTCTTCTCTTTGTGTGGGGAGCACAGTGAAAAGAAGATGTGGGTGTAGACATTCTCCCAGCGGTGTTAGACTTTTATATTTATATTGGAAACAGGATGTCATACTGGGTCACTTCTGCTAACGGTGATAAGCTAACTCAGAGAGTGGCCACTCGAACTCCAAAGGAGTTTGGGAAACTTCTGTCAAATTGCCTACAGACCAGAAGATAAATACCAGATGTTTATGTTTGTCTCACACACACGGAGTGAGACTTTCCACGATCCTAGTGAAGGCATTTGATATTCAGCTCTTGCTACACGCCGCCCCCCCCCCCCCATCATCACATCCCTTCAACATCACCCTTCATGTTAAACATAAGTACATCAAACTCAGATGTGAAATCACACCCGTCTTCCAATTAAAAATAAAGCAGCTGTGAGACAATGGCATTCTTTTAAAATAAGAAAACGGTGATGGGAACAGGACTGATTGGATTTAGGGAAAGCAGGTTAATTATGGTTATAGTGTGTCTAAATTTTTACGGAAAGAAAGGAAATATTGTTTAGACGATGAACCCTCCAAAACACAGAGGGTTGCCATTGTATAGAACTTCTGGGGGTTGTGTCTTTGTCTTTTCAGCTGCCTGTCTTGGGTCGCCAATCTTATCTGTTAGACTGTGAGGTTGGGGCAAGCTCATCAGAATTCAAAAAGCTAATGCACCAAGAGGATGGCCAGATTTTGAGTAGTGTTCATGACAACTGCTTATTTTGGCTTCCAAATGAGCAGAGAACAATCTCTTGAGCGATCAATCCATTTCTTGACAAATAATATCTATAAGGATGAGAAAGAAACATGGTAGGTTGTTTAGTGATGTTATTTCATTCATTCATTTCCTTCCCCTTGCCTCTGCCCTTCCTCCTTTTCTCTAGAACATTCTCTCCCATTTTTGTCCACTTGTAAGTTCCTACCATTCATCCTTCAATAGGTGTCTTAGACATGGAAGTCAACTGTGAGATGTCTCCAACTCCCTAGCTCCCTTCCTCCATGCACTGGCCCATCCTGTCATCTTGTTTGTGTCTCCCATTCTTGCTTCTCTTTGCATCTTCATCACTTAATACAGAACTTAGTGGAAAGTTGATACTAAGTGTTCACTGGATAAATATCAATCAAGGGGAGTAGAACTGTTCATAGGCAGCATACTGATTAAACAGATGATGCTACAACCAGGCTCTGGAATACCATGAAGCCACTGAAACTGATGGTATAGAAAAATATTTTTGCCATGGAAATATATCCATAAAACTAAACAAAAACCAGGTTATCAAACATAGAGGTAATATGACATTGTATTGGAATGACCAAAAAGTTTGTTCAGATTAAGAAGCTGAACGAACGTTTTGACCAACCCAGTAATAACAAAACATATGCACAACAGTCACATATTTTGCATAAGGAAAAAAAAAACTCTGGAAAACTACTTTCAGTGGTTATTTCCTATTGGTGGTCTTATGGAGATTGCAATTTATTCTTTAGTCTCTTCTGTATCTTAGGAATTTTTAATAGACATCTATCACTTTTCTAGATAGAAAAACAGATACTCCTTAAAAGAAATCTTAAAGGTCTGGATGCAAGTATAGAAAAAACACAATATATTGACTTGAGAGGTGGAAAACTGAGCTTTGCACTAAACATCCTGAGGTTAGAAATGACTTATTCTGCCCACCAGGCCAAAAAAAGGAAACAATCATGTGTGGTCAAAGAAAAGAGGAAATGTCCTTTTAAGTCAAGAAAACTTTATATGTGAAGTGCAAAGGCAGAAAAGGCATATCTATTAGGAAGAATAAATACTTGATGTGGCTGGAAGATACATTGAAGGGAGGTGGATGTAACAGTTGAGACTAAAAAGGTAAGCCTCAGACTTCCCTGGTGGTCTAATGGTTAAGACGCCATGCTTCCAATGCAGAGGGTGCAGGTTCAATCCCTGCTCAGAGAACTACCATTACATATGCGGTGCAGCACAGCCATAGAAAATAAAAAGGTAGATCACAGCAACATCATGATTAGCAGAGATGGCTTCAACCCTGAGTACTGCAGTGGGTTGCCATTTCCTTCTCCAGGGGAACTTCCCTACCTTGGGATCGAACCCAGGTCTTCCACATTGCATGCAGACGCTTTACCCTTTGAGCCACCAGGGAAGCCCATAAAATATAAAAAGGTACATCAAAGCAACGTCATGATTAGCAAAGATGGCTTCAACCCTGAGAAAGGTGTAAATACCCAGTAAGTCCTGCTGGGTCTCCCTACAGATACCTGCAGAGTGAGCAGTGGTGCTTCTGAGGCTGATAGTTATCTATCTCCTCCCAAACTCTCTCAGGCACTGACAGTCGCTTTTAGGGCATTCCACAAAGGTCCCCAGGGAAAAAGGATTTAAGAGAAGCTCATGGTGTTGCAAGTGAGAATTTCCAGTACTCGGCTGTGCCTTGTTAAGAGTTCTGGATACCATTCAGTTTTAATTGCAATGGTTCAAGTCCCAGCTATAATTATTTGGTTGTCATTCATCCTTGCTAAACCCAGTGGCAGTTATGTTAGAAAAATGAAATGAAATTTCTTTTTTTTTTTTTAAATGAAACTTCAAGTATCCCAGTGCAGTAAGTAAGAGAATCTTCAGAGTTTGAAAGCATAGCAGGAAACCTCATGCAATTACAAGGGGAGGTTGTGAATGCATCTCATTGCTGTTAAAAAAAGAAAATATCTTTTCTTCTTTTTGAGTGATTCGTGCACATGCTTTGGGGCCTTTCGATTTGGGACTTTGGACTTTTCTTGCCTTGGGCATCCGGTTAATTCCAGTCAATAGATCCTTCCTTTAAAGTCGGTTGTCTCTAGTGCTAGGATTCTTCTAGTTGACCACCAGTTAACTTCTTATCTTATCCTAAGAACAAAATTTTAAAAATAGGAAAAGGACAACCAGAGCATGAAGTTCTAGAACTCTTTCTAATCAGCCTAAGCTGCATATGCACTCTCAGGAAGTTAATCATTTCCAAACCGAAGAGCCATCTGTAGGTTTGACTGAGTTTATTTGCACAGCTCTGCTTTGCGGTCCCTTGAAAGTCAAGGTTTTAAGGGCTCTTCAGGTTGAAGTGGACTGTGTATTGGGCATGAGGGCGTGACTCAGTGGGCAGTTAGTAAAGCCCTAAGTGTTCTGAGAGCATTTGAAAACAGTTGAAATTGTTCAGTGCAGCCATGTCTATAGTAGCCATTAACTTTCAAGTTGCAGCATTAAGAAATCAGTTTTTGCAGCAACCTAAGATCATCTGATTATTTGTTCAGAACAGAGTTAGATTTAGGGTGCCAAATCCCATCCAGAAAAGAACACCCAGTAAAATTTGAACTTCAAGTAAGCAATGAACCTGTTGTTAGAATATCCCAAGTGCTGCATGGGCTGTATTTACTTAAAAAACATTTACTGTTCATCTGAAATTCAGATTTCACTGAATATCTTGTATTTTTATTGGCTAAATCTGGTAAACGGGGGCTGCCTCCCTTTTTTGAAATGTGTACACAAATTCATAAAAAGTATTAGAGTTTACTTTTGAAAAAAATGCAAATTTCAGTTAGCAAGTACAGACACTTAATAAAAATATGTTGGATAAGTACTTATTTGTTAAATTAAGATTTAGACCATATCTACCATTATCATCTTAAAATATGTATTTCTATTAAAGGCTTGTTCCTTTTTTCTTTCAAACCTGGTGAAAGTATTTCAAACCTGGACCTTACATCTTTAAAATCAGGATAATGAAATAAAGATTGTTTTACACTGAATAGTATCCCCTTCCTTTTTAGATGAAATCTCCTATTGTTGAATTGTGTGTGTTCAAGTTGGCTTCTCTGTGGAGGGGCTGTTGCTGTTTTTGGTCTTGGTTTAGTTTTGAAGGAATTGGCAACTTGTTGATTTAACTGCTCCAAGGGCCTTCAGGAAAAAGCAATTCGGGGAAGACAATAGCCATTCTTCAGGAGACAGGTTGTACATAAAATGGAAATTTTTAGGTGTTTATGGCCCATGGGCAGTGGACGGTTAATTGAAATATTGTTTGCTGAGAATTGGGTTGTCATGTAGCAACTGGAAAGCAGGATACCGAAGCTGCAGTTGGGGGACGGGGTAGGTTTAGGCTTTGGGGGGTTGTTTTTGTTTTTGTCACCATTTTCAGGGGATAAACCTCTTACTACTGAATATACTGTTGAAATATCTTATTGGTGTTAATCAGTCGTAACATGCAATTACTTTTTGTGAACATTATTAAATATTTTGCCAAGTATTTGTGCTTCGTTTCTTTAAATCTCTGTATTATACAGAAATACAATCTGGCCATTCCAGATTACAAATCTATGGCCCATTTCCCAAAGCACAGTACGCACAAGGGTTTTCAGAGTCAGGATGGTTCCAGTCCACATCCTATTTAGAAGGAGGGCGGTTGCTACAGAGCAATGGGAAATGGGATCGTGTTAGATTCAAGTTCTAGTCCAGGCTTCTCCATAACCAGGAGGGGAGTTTATCTCGTTTGTCTTGGTTTTCTGTTTGTAAAATGACATTTATTAATGTGCTATTTAGAAAGTATCATGATACAATCTCTTAGAAAATACAGTAATATGATATTGGGCCTGGTTTTCTCTTTTGTTCCAAGGATCAAGCAATCTTGGTTGCTGGTTGCATGGATGAGAAAGTTCTCTTCCTGGCGGTTGCCAGCTAGGGCAGCTACTGTCTTACCATATTGGAGGCTTTCTTGGGGCTGTTGATACTGATGGAACTAGAGTCTGTTGACCCCAGGTAGAGGAAGACTACGTCGTGGTACCCACAGGAAAAGATTCTTCACGTTACAGAGGTATCAGGATGGGCAACTGATCAGGTTTGTATTGTCTTGTAGGTAGACCTGGGCCTTCTGCGCTTTGTCACTGCTGTCGGGACACAGGGAGCCATTTCAAAGGAAACCAGGAAGAAATACTACGTCAAAACTTACAGAATAGACATTAGCTCCAACGGGGAAGACTGGATCACCATTAAAGAAGGAAATAAACCTGTTGTAAGTTTGCCTGCCTCCTCTTCCACTAATTCAGTCTTTGAAATGGATGATCAATTTTTACTTGTTTGTTTGGGAGCTTGCTGTCTGGCCTGGCTTATTTTTGAATTGATTTAAAATGAAAAGTGCAATTAGAAGTTTAAATCTGACCAAGGGGTCTCATGTTCCCAGATCCAGAAGCCAAAAGGAAATTATACGGATGTTTCCAAGAAAAGTCAATACCAGCCAAATTAAGTCAGACTTAAGAATCGCTTTAAACCTCCCATGGGGACATGGAGTATGCATAGGATAAACACCGTCCCCTTAGAACCCTTGGAGTTGTTCTGTTTTGTCTTTCTCCCTGTGTTTCCTCATTCTCTTTCATAGATTAATTCTTTCTTCCTCTCTGTAATGGGCTGGTTTTAGAAGACTCCTTTTCATCTACCCTCTGCGCCTCAAACTAATTTACAAGTGTGTTTGGCTGCTTCTGTGCAAATGAACAGAACTGAAGGTGTCCTCTCAGATCCCAAAAACCACATGCCACCTCCTCACTGCTTTTTGTTGAGGAGGCCACACCGTGCCCTGTCCCCCGGGTGCTCTGTCCTGAATTATTTGGAGCTGAGATGTTTTTCTCAGCCTGCTGTGTATTTGAAGTTATGCTTGCTCTGAATTACTAATCAAGAGAATACTGAGAGCTCGTGCTTGCCATTTCCCCAAAATTAAAAGCTTGCCCTGGAGGCTGAGCAAAACATCCAGAATTGATGAGAATGGTAGCAAAGATCCAGGTAATTTGGAATTCTGGGTTCCAGAAGAGACCAATTAACATGTCCTTGTCTCTCTTTGGAGTATGTATGGGCTTAAATGTCTCCGTCTGGGTCTGGAACTGAGAAAGCCCTCCTTGGTGTGAAGTGAGAGGGCTATTAATACCCTTTGAGGGACTTCCCTGGTGGCCCAGTGGTTAAGACTCCAAGCTTCCAATGCAGAGGGCACAGGTTCGATCCCTGGTTGGGGAAATAAGATCCCACATGCCCGAAAAAAAGAAAGAAAGAAAAAACTATCCTTTGATTAGCTGCAAAGCTGCCACTCTCACTTAGGGCAGGCAGGAAAGCCTCAGCCATAGAGGTGCAGCCATCTGTGGGAGGAAGGTTCTGTGGACCGGCCAGCTCAAGGCCACTGTCCTGCCCTAGATGACATGGAGCGGATCTTCCATCTTAGGAAAAAATCCCTCACAGTCACTATTGGCGCAGATCCACTGAGTAAATGCTGACCCTGAGTGTCATGGCTTGTTTTTGTTTTGGAGTCATTTTTTTGAAGGCCTGCTCTCGTTTCAAGCAAATGAAAAAACACTAATGCCAAGGACACACCAACAAACAGAAGAACCCGGAGAGAGTGGGGAGGGCTGACTCAGCTTTCAGGCCGTCTCGTTAATCAGTGAGCGTTCTTTACCCAAGACCCCTCCTCAGCCGTGGCCCACACTTGTCCACATGTGGGTGTGGAGAGCGTGCTGGGGCCGTGGGGGGCGTCTGACGGGGACACAGCTCACAATCGTTGTCACCTTGGCACACAGAGGGGCTTCCAGAGTAAGAGGCAGAAAGAATTAAAGGTCAGGAAAGACCGGGTGTGTGTCTGAGCCCTTTCACTGAACCTGAATGAAATCCCCACCACCCGGAGTCCAGCTCTTGTTGCCTTGCTCTGTACTTTGGGGTCTTGCGGCATGCCCCTTCCCCTCCTTTCCTTGGGGAGAGCTGGCCATACGTAGCTCAGCAACAGTGGCCTTTGACCACCAGATCCAGCAGCCTTTTTCTGTTGGTGGCGTGAGTGTTCTCACCTGGTTTTCAGGAAACATAAAATGTCCTCAGGGTGAGCCAGCCTGTGGTCCCTCCCTGAAGTGGACCCCCCTGGCCCTTGAAACACTGGCTTGGGAAACTCTGCCCCTTCAGACAGGTCCCCACTATTCATCAGGACACACAAAAAATGCATTCACACAGATTGTTGCCCAGAGAGATTTGCTGAAGTAGGACAGAAATCTGAAGGCCATCACAGATGGACCATAACCTGGTGGTCCAGTGGTTAAGAATCCACCTTCCGATGCAGGGGACATGGGTTCAGTCCCTGATCGGGGAACTAAGATCCCACATGCCACAGAGCAACTAAGCCCAGGCATCACAACTGCTATGTGCACACACTGCAGTTACTGCCGCCCGCGGGCCCCAGAGCCGGCCTCCAAAACAGGAGAAGCCGCCGCAAGGAGTATTCTGCATGCGGCAACTAGAGAAAAGCCTGCGCAGCAACGAAGACCCAGCACAGCCAAAAGGAACAAGTAAATAAATACTCGTTTTAAAAAGTAAATAGATAAGGGCCATCACAGGCTGGGATAAATTCCAACACTACATTGTCTCCAGAGAGGGATCAGGCTAACATCCGACTTAGTAAAATGTTTGACCGCCTCCCATGGAGCAGGGCCATTAGGCTAAAAGCAGTAAGAACTTCAGCCCGACCCATAAGCTCCTTCTCCCAGGGAATGGTGGTCCTCCTCCACAGACTCACCAGGGAATCTCTACGCCTCTGATGGCCCCCGTGGTGCGCTAGTTACACAAGGCCTGTGTCTGAGACACGGTACTTTTTACACAGCTGTCTCCACTGTGAGCTGGGGTAAAATCCAGGGACAGGGAGGCTTTCAGTCCCACCTGAGACAGGTCTAGTGGTAGAGGGTTCCATGTGGCAGAAAGCCCCTGCTCCTCAGAGATGTCGCTAGAGGACACTGCATGGCATCGTGCCCAGGCCTATCGGCCCCCACGGATGCTTGTGGGAAACCAGTTCGTGACTGGCACTCATTACACTGCAGCTACATGCCTCATCTTTCTTAGAAGAAAATGACTCATTTTTAAAACGAGAAACAGAAGCCCTGGGAAAACTGATTCTCCATTGCATATTATGTATAACTGAGTTTTGATCTTGACCACTGACACATAATTTTACCAACAATCCCCCTCCCCCCCCAAAAAATATTAGAATCATTCATTAACGTCAGGGATAAGATCTTCCATCAAGAAATGGAGTTCAAAGGGAGGAAGCTCCTTGACCTAGGACTGAACATAACCTAGAATTTTCAAATAGCCAGATCCTACATTGAAGTCAAAAAGCACTCCTTTGGGAAATTCCTGGGAAAGTAAAACAGTGAAAGTTCCCATGAAATGTCCACCATATTCTGTAACTTCTTCTGATAATGTTAATCATTTTCCAAAAAAAAAAAAAACCAATCATTTTCCCACTTTTTTAGATAATTGCACGTGTTCTTTAACAAATGCTATCCTTATAATAATACTTTTAGAGGCTCCATCCTTTCAGAAAATTGAATAGATTAGGACAACATTCTATACGGTTTCCCTGGTGGCTCAGCGGTAAAGAATCCACCTGCAATGCAGGAGATGTGGGTTCGATCCCTGAGTCAGGAAGATCCCCTGGAGAAGGAAATGGCTATCCATTCCAGTATTCTTGCCTGGGAAATCCCAGTGAACAGAGGAACCTGGTGGGCTATAGTCCATGAGGTTGCAAAGAGTTGGACACAACTTAGGAAATAAAAGACAAAAATCCTCTCGGAAAACTGAATGGATGATTAGGACATTCTATCTTAGACATGGTTTCTTAAACATGGTTCTTTCTGATTACCATCATTTGGAAAAATAACTTGACAAGTTATTAACACCACCTCAACCATGGTAAATAATGAAGAGACTGTAAACAATTTGACAAGCACTTGTGAAAACATATTTTTGCATTTGTTTTTAATCTGAAATGTCTGTTATTAAAGAGCCCTTTCTTTTTCCATCTAGATCTTTCAGGGTAACACCAACCCCACAGATGTTGTGATTGGAGTTTTTCCCAAACCCCTGATCACTCGATTTGTCCGAATCAAACCTGTGACCTGGGAAACTGGCATCTCTATGAGATTTGAAGTCTATGGCTGCAAGATAACAGGTAAGATGGAAGATCACCTGGTTTTTATCCATGAAAACTTTTAAATATAGGGAGAGTAGTTTGATATAAATGGGGTTGGTCATTTCCATTTGATCATTAAGAGCATATGCTTTGGATTTAGACAAGAGTGAGTTCGGATCCTACCTGTACTACTTACTCACCATCTTATTTCTTGGGGCAGCTTACTACCTTTCAAAGCCTTAGTTATCTCACCTGGAAAACAGGCATCGTGGTGTACACCACTCAGGGTTGTGATAATGAATTAGCTCGTGAGTATGAAGCACTTACACAGGTTAGAATGTGGGTAGGTATTTACAAGTGGTGTCTTTCCATTAGGCAGGTTCCAGGAAGACAAATAACCTTCCCTTTCATCCTCCATCTCCTGGTTATGCCACACTGACAGCTACTTAGTAGGTTTACAACAAATAACCGTTGCTTGAAATGTTCTTCACCTGCTTTGCCTTTTTTTATTGGAGTATAATTGCTTTGCAGTGTTGTATTAGTTTCTGCTACAAGAAAGTTAATCAGGTATGTGTATACATATATCCCCTGCCACCTGACCCTCCACCTCACCTACCCCCACCCCACCTGTAGGCCATCACAGAGCACTGAGCTGAGCGCCCTGAACTTACGGCAGCTTCCCACTAGCTGCCGGTTTTACACATGGTAGTGGATACATGTCTTTTTAATCTTGAAGCCTAGAGGTGACCTCATTAGCAACAGTTCAGGAGGAGATTAATTTATGGAGTTAATTTATTCTCCTTTCACCCACTAACTGCCCTGACAACTTTCTCTTAGGTTTTGGCTCAATACATGTCTATCTTTCATTGAATGCATATACTAACATCAATATTAGAAATCGATTTGTCAATATTTCTTGTTTTTGAGTTTGTTTCTTCTGACATTAATAGGACTTTAAGAGTCTCTTTTAAACTTGGAACAAGTAGGTGGATTATATCCACTTGAGAGGTGAAGATGAGGTACTGGGCGATTAAGTAGATAAAAAGGTAGGCAGGTCAGGATGGAGCGGGAAGTAAAAGAAGGATCCAGTTAGTCTCACTGCATTTCCATGGCAACCAGTACTGCTCTTACTCATCCTGTACATCCACTCTGTCTTCTGAAATAACTAGCAGTCACATTTCAAATACCTTTCCATGTAAGTAAGTAAACTACAAATTTTTCATTAAAAAAAGTACAAGGTAACCTCCATAGAATGAAAAAAAAAACTTCAAAAACAGAATCAGTAACTGATTCACTACAAAGTAATTAAAAGTGAATAACCTTTAAAGTCTGTCAAATATCTTTCATGTGATGTTAGTATACATATTAAGAGCATTTAATTTCTTATTCCATGAACACCAACACTATTGTTTTTATTTTTATCCTCTTTAATATAATTATTTTTAGAGAAGGAAAGTACTGACTTCTGAAGGGAAAAAAGATCACCTGGGAAATTTTCCATGAAATTACAAGCAGTTTGAAGAAAGCTAACTAAGGAGAAAAAAAAATTACATTTGTTTACAGTACAGCCCATTTTGGAAAATAAAAACTGACATTTGATCTCTTCCCCAAATTTTATTTATTTCCATCCTAGAGACAGACTTGTTTATTGTTTTAGAATCTAAATATTTAGAAAGTTCAAGGCCTTGGAGACAGGCATTGGGTGGAGAGAGGTTTGGAGGGAGAAAACGGGCAGTGTAGGGTTAGATATAACCTTGGCTTTATTCTTGATCAGCAGAAACAGGAGAGAAGGTTCTAGGTCATTTTCAGGGCATTACAAATGTGAGTGACTACCTATGAACTCATAGAAACAAGGCCATTTGAGAGCAGGGTGGAAATTTCTGTCTCGTTCCTCCCACCTATTCTCATGTCACTGTACCGAAAAAAAAAAAAAAAGGTAAACTTCATAAATGCTTTAGTGTGAATTCTGAATTTCTGGCTTTCCTTTTAATTAAATAAAATACTTGTTTAAACCTGAATTTCTCTTTCTCATTTTCACAAGGATTTTCCTGAGAGATAATTCTAGGACCATGAATCTTTATTTATAAACAAGGGAAGCTATTTATTGGATTTTTAAAAATAGTCAAATGGCCTAGTTATTTAAGCAAACATAGATGTCTGTAGGGCTTCCCTGGTAGCTCAGCTGGCAAAGAATCTGTCTGCAGTGCAGGAGACCCTAGTTCGATTCCTGGGTCGGAATGATCCCCTGGAGAATGGATAGGTTACCCACTCCAGTATTCATGGGCTTCCCTGTTGATTCAGACATTAAAGAATCTGCCTGCAGTGCAGGAGACCTGAGTTTGATCCCTGGGTGGGGAAGATGCCCTGGAGGAGGGCATGGCAACTCACTCCAGTACTCTTCCCTGGAGAATCCCCATGGATAGAGGAGCCTGGTGGACTACAGTCCATGGGGTCACAAAAAGTCAGACATGACTGAGTGACTTAGCACAGCACAGATGTCTGAAATACCATGTTTTAATATTTTCACATTTGATTTGTTCTGTTTTACAATTATTTTAAGTACCTGTTTTTTTTTTTCCAAATTATATACTGCCACTCTCTTAATCATGACCCCTAATATGTTTTGGATACTTTCTCTCTAATAAGACAACTACAATCTCCAAATAACTGATCAAGGCAGGTTTTTAGAGAGGCCAGCCTGTCATAACAATGGTCACAAAAAGAGAAGGTGTATAGACATATCCACACTTCACTCTGGGCTGTCCACTTAGTGATTGAGTGACCATGGACAAGACTCATGGTCCCTCTGATCTCCATCTCCTGGTCACTGAGATTAACTTAATTCAGTTGTAATAAGATTAAGTGAAAGGATGCTTATAACACTTGGCTTAGAGTAAGTGCTCACTAAACAGTACCTACTGTGTTAAACAGTGTGTGGTGCTCAATCAATTGAACCTGCAACAGGCCCCAGCAAACAGAACCTCTAATGAGACAATGGTATCAGTGTTAGCTCAGTGTTACCAGAGGAGATAATTTTCATCTTTTAGTGGTCATGGTCGCCTCAGTGGAGACTGATAGAAAAGCATGAGACTGCAGGGTTCCTGTTGGGTCTGGAAGCTCCATGAAAGCAGGGGTCATGTTTGTCTTCTTTTCCATTGTGTCCTGTGTGCCTGGAACATAATATGCTGGACACACTTATTTTTTTTACGAGTGAATGAGCAAATTAATGAATGGCAGCTTTATTCATGTTTTCCTACAAACAAGTGACTGGATTGCAAAATTTGACCCTCTCCTCTAGAGTAGGCAAGCCCCAACTCAATCTGGATTAAAAAAAAAACACATTGAATTAAAAGTTACCGTGAGAACACATTACTTGAAAGTCTCCAGAGCTCACAAGTTCTAACCCAATTTTTCTGTTCAGAAATTATTTGCTGGAAACATAGCAATCCTGGAATAACTGGAGTATACAACAATGGGTCACCATACAGAGAGAGAACGAAAACAGAATTGGAGCAAGTCATCCTGTTTTGTAGGTGATTGTCAGAGGAGCATTTGCATTATTTTGACAAGGCAGGCTTCATCATTTTGGAAGAGAAACTGGTGAAGATGCCCTTACTGTCTGAGAACACGCTGCAGACCATGTGGGCTTTTTCGTTTACCAGAAATTAATTAACTGGAGCTTCTGCACAGGTCAGTGTGTGCCTGTGTTAAGCAGAGTTTGCAAGGATGACCTTGAGCCCTCCAACATCCATAGGTACCTTCTGAGTCATCAGGGAAGATTAAATTATGCTTATTCAGGTTCACCCATCCAATACAATCATTGTCTTCTCATTCCTTGAAAACCAGTTAACTAAGTATTTGATTTACCAGTATTTCTATTTCCCTGTTAAATCTCAGTTCAGAGATTGTATTGTAAAATAATATCAGTGAAGATAACCACTTCCAGAGGGGAAAGGAGGTGGGGATGTGTGAAATAGGTGAAGAGAATTAAGTGGTACAAACTTCCAGATAAGGTCACAGGGATGTACTGCACTGGATAAGGAATATGGTCAATAGTATTGTAAAAATGTATGGGAACAGATGGTTACTAGACTTACAGTGGTGATCATCTCATAATATATGCAAATATCAACTCACTGTGGAGTATACCTGAAACTAATGTTCATTTTAGTTCAGTCGCTCAGTCGTGTCCAACTCTTTGTGACCCCATGAATTGCAGCACTCTGGGCCTCGCTGTCCATCACCAACTCCCAGAGTTCACTCAAACTCATGTCCATCGAGTCGGTGATGCCATCTAGCCATCTCATCCTCTGTCGTCCCCTTCTCCTCCTCCCCCTAATCCCTCCCAGCATCAAGGTCTTTTCCAATGAGTCAACTCTTTGCATGAGGTGGCCAAAGTATTGGAGTTTCAGCTTCAGCATCAGTCCTTCCAATGAACACCCGGGACTGATCTCCTTTAGGATGGCCTGGTTGGATCTCCTTGCAGTCCAAGGGACTCTCAGGAGTCTTCTCCAACACCACAGTTCAAAAGCATCAATTCTTCAGCGCTCAGCTTTCTTCACAGTCCAACTCTCACATCCATACATGACCACTGGAAAAACCATAACCTTGACTAGACGGACCTTTGTTGGCAATGTAATATACATCAATTGTGTTTCAATTCAAAAAGAAAAGAACCACCTAATTCCCCATCACAGAACTCACTTCCCCCTCCCATCTAGGATTGGTTTTAAGCTTTCTAAACAAGGTTGCCAAGTGAAATGCAGAATGTCCAGTTCAATTTAATGCAGATAAATGACAAAGAATTTTTTAGTGTAATTATATTCCCCATTCAGTATTTGGGACAAACTGGCTTCCAAGTGGAAGCTCAGCCATAAAGAATCCACCTGCAGTGCTGGAGATGTGAGTTCGATCCCTGGGTCAGCAAGATCCCCTGGAGAAGGAAATGGCAACCCACTCCAGTATTCTTGCCTGGAAAATCTCATGGACAGAGGAGCCTGGCGGGCTACAGTCCATGGGGTCGCAAGAGTCTGGCACAACTTAGCGGCTAAACCACCACCAAGACCACCATACTGAAAAATTATTTGTTGTCATTTGAAATTTGAATTTAGTTTGGCACCCTGGGTTTCTTGTGTTGCTGTTTTAGATTATTTGTTCGCTGAATCTGGCAACACTGTTTCCAAAGGATGTGTGATGGAGCCAGGCTTTACCAAGGCACACTGAACCAGCCTGCTGTGGATGACCAGAGCTAGAACCTAGCATCTCCTTCAAACCTTGAATTGTTAGTGGAATCTTTCTCCTAACTGTGGCTAAAAGTGAGTCACTGGTTTTGAGTCAAAGGCAAGTCAGGGTGCCTCTTCCTTGAACTTGGATGAGGCCATCTGACTGCAGGACAGCTGTGTTGGCCAATGCAGGCTGGCCTCAGGAGGCTTGTGGATGCAAGGATCGTGCCCCCGCAGCTCTGCATTAGAGAAGGGACATTCATCTGGTAAAGTTTCTTCTCTCCTTATAGTATTCAAGTTAATTTTGTTTTTCTCCGAAGGGTAACATCTGGTACGGATTACCAGCTACACATTTTCTTCACAAAAGTCAGTTTTGAGTCAGACAGGTGTGACCACAGTGACCAAAAATGCGACTTCTATTTTTAACACTATAATTTCATAGACCCTCAGTAAAATCGCTTTTGTCAATCTTTTCATAATCCCCATTGAATTTATTCTTGGTTTCCAGACCCCAGCCTGAAGCAAATACTGCGGCTCAATTACAGGAAAGGGTGCTTGGGGAGAATGGCAGCTGCCTTTTATTGTGTTAATAAGCTGATTCATTCAACAAATATTTGTGGAGCAAATACCACGGATAAAGCAGGGCACAAGGACTCATAGAAAAGTTTTTAATATGACTTGGTTCACAGCCTCAAAGAATTTAAAATCCGGGGAGGCAGGTAGCAAGCAAGCAACCCAAGGAACTGAATATGGTCAACATATCTGAGACATGCAGGTGGAGAGCTAAGAAGAGTCCCAGAAAAGGAAAACCACGTCTAGTTGGAGAGATCAGAAAAATTGAATATATAACATAAAATTTGAAAACAGGTCAAAATTTTAAGATAGTGGGAAGGGCAAAGTGATGGGAAGTTCTTTAGTGGAGGGGACAGAAAGAGAGGAAACCTCCAAGTATCACTACCACAGAGGTGAGAGAGTTCTCCTTCATTGAGGAGGGGCTTGCAAGGCCTTGGTACCAAAAACCTGACACATGAGGTTGAAAGTAGGTGCATAATTCCTAGATGAGCAGGCACTGACTTTTTGAGTAAAGAAATAACATGATCTGAACTGTAGAACTCTAAGCATCTGATTTAGAAAATGTCTGAATTAGAAAGTGTCTAATTCATTCTCAAGGGTCAGCTGATAACACGGAGAAGGCTTAATTGCTTGAGACACATGCCTCTCATTTACAGTGGTTACATTTTCAGCTGAATTTTGATTTATGCAGAACGGGGTTGTTAAAAAGAAGAATAAGTTCTTCTTCCTGGCATGTCTTGGATGGAGATGTACAATTTTGAAAAGAGAATAACTGAAGTGTTCAACATTTTGTTACGAAGCCACCAATCAATTAATCAGTGATTGATACTCCCCTTCTGCTCAGAAGCTCCTTGGTCTACTATAGAAGTTTAGCAAGATCTATGATGCTGTTCGTGGTCTTGGAGGAATTTACAATCTGATTATGGACACGATTCCCAATCTTAAAACATGGAGAGAATAGCTTAATGCTAAGCTCCGTGCTGCTTCCTGTACATGTAGCCATATTTCTGAGAAAGGAGTGTTCAGGATAAAGGAGAGAGTCATTTGAGAAGTTTTCAGGATCAGCCATAAGCTGGATTTGAATATTTGGGCAGAACTTACCTCCGTCCACAGGAGGATAAGGGGGCAGCAGGAACATTTTGGACAAAGGCAATGATGAGAGTTATCTCTATGGTATATGGGAAGAAAATAGATTCCTGTCAGTAATAGGAAATAAAATTAGATAAATAGGGTGAAGCCAAAATGAGGGTGTTTGAAAGCCAGAGAGAGACTGTTTTATAGCATACTGTAAATAATGGAAAGCCAGGGAGATTTTTCAAAGATCTTTCTCTTATTATTGTGGTCAAATATACATAACATAGTTTACCATTCTAACCATGTTTAAGTCTACAATTTAATTGCCTTCAAGAGTCACATTAGTGTGCAGCCATCACTACAATCCACCTTCAGAATGTTTCATTATTGCAAACAAACTGTACCCCTGAAACTCTGTACCCATGAAACACTAACTCTTCATTCCCCCCTGCCCCTAGCTTCTGGCAACCACCATTTTACTTTCTGTCTTTATGGAGTTGACTCTTCCAGGCAAGTCATTTAGGAGAGTCATGCAATATCTGTCCTTTGGTTTATTTTCCTTAGCAATGGAAGATTTTTGCGCATGAGAATAACATTGCAAAAACAAAGTTATGAAAAGTGGCATGGGTGTTGCTGATTCAAAACTGGGGTTTGAGAGGGTAGTTTGGAGATTATTCAGCGTGTCGGCCTGAGTGCTTAGATGCAGATGATGCCGAAAGAAATGTCCTCACAAGGCATATCGAGGACACTTTTTTAATGAAAATATGACGGGATTTGGTATCAGAACAGGAATGGAAAATGGAAAATCAAAAAAAACAAAGATAACTAGGCAGGAACTAGTTGATGGGTGATTCCACCCATTAAAGTGAAGAGTTCGATAAAGGGATTCAGTGTTGAGTGGAAAGGACTGTTCTTGTTTGGACTTGGGACATTTGAGGTGAGGCTGGGATACTGCAAAGTTCTGGTGCAGTTAGAAACGGGGGTGGGGAGGAGACTGGTGGGGGGTAAGATGGGCCCCCTCCTTAAGCATTCATTTCAAAGGCTCCCCCCAACACCCTGGGGTGGGGAGACCCTCCTACCTCTTCAAGCTGCTTAAAGCACTTTGTTTCTCTTAATCTCCTCATCTTTTTGCTTTTGTCTTGGCAATTTTGCTGCTATTGGAATTACTGATTTCCACAATTCCAGCCCTCCATTAACTAGAACCTCCAGCCAGTTAATGGGCTGTACTTGATCTAAGAATAACTTCCGGATACCAAAGGGACTGTCAATACGTTGAGTTTACACTTGGAAGAACTCAGAAAGGAAGAAATGACTGTTCTTATTGAAGATTTTTTTAATTGGACTGTTGAGTGTAGGGTGAGCAGTGCAGAAAGAGGAGCTGGGGGGTCGGGGGAGCGTTGGTTTCATATCAGATGGTCCAGGCATTTACAAATGTACATGAATGGGGACAGCCCATGTTTTTGCTCAATACGGTGGATTCTCTTTCTAAGCATGGAGACTTCAAATCATGTTACGCTTGTCTATTCCGTTCCCCACCTAGATTATCCTTGCTCTGGAATGCTGGGCATGGTGTCGGGACTTATTTCCGACTCCCAGATCACAGCGTCCAATCAAGGGGACAGGAACTGGATGCCTGAGAACATCCGCCTGGTGACCAGCCGCTCGGGCTGGGCACTGCCCCCGGCCCCCCACCCGTACGTGAACGAGTGGCTGCAGGTGGACCTCGCTGAGGAGAAGATTGTGCGGGGAGTCATCATTCAGGGGGGCAAGCACCGGGAGAACAAGGTGTTCATGAGGAAATTCAAGGTCGGGTACAGCAACAACGGCTCCGACTGGAAGATGATCATGGATGACAGCAAGCGCAAGGCCAAGGTGAGCCCGGGCGGGGGCGGCGCCGGGGGAGCGGTGGCGGGCCCCCTGGCGGCCTTGACTTGAATCGGGGACCCTGGCCTCTTCCTGCGGAAGCATCTCTCATTTCCTGAAAGCCTTGGGATCTGCCCGGGTGAGGGATGGAGCCTGTAAGGTGCCAGGGGAGACAGGAATGGGATGCAAACAGCGCGGCTGAGCATCTCATCACCGGTCACCTTTCCTTCCTTCAGGAAACAGCAGGTGACTCAAGGCTGGGGGAGCGGGAGGCAGTGAGCGTGGGGCCGGGGACATGGGCTCGGGGCAACCTGGTAGGGACAGGCACTCCCTCCGAAGATCCTCTGATCGTCTCTGGAGAGCCCCGGCTGCCAGCCCCCGTCTGCCACCAATCCCTTGTTAAATGTATTTTTAAATTTTGTTATTGAATGAAAGAGTCTTTCAATTCTGTAGTTTTACAATTTTCTGAAGTTCCATAGAAGTGAAAGTGAAGTCGCTCAGTTGTGTCCGACTCTTCGGACCCCATGGACGGTAGCCTACCAGGCTCCTCAGTTCGTGGAATTTTGCAGGCAAGAATACTGGAGTGGGTTGTCATTTCCTTCTCCGGGAGATCTTCCCGACCCAGGGATTGAACCCAGATCTCCCACATTGCACGTAGAATTGGGCTGAAATCCACATAACAGAAAAATTCCCATCATAACCTTTTTTAAGTGTATCCATTCAGTAGTGTTAAGTACATTCACATTGTTCTGCAAAGCCATCTCTAAAACTTCTTGCAAAACTGAAACTCCCTCACCATTAAACAATAATTTTCCAGCCCCTGACAACCACCATTTCAATTTCTGTTTCTATGAATTTGACTCCTCCAGGAGCCTCTGTTAGTGGAAGCATACAAAATTTAGCCTCTGTGATGGGCTTGTTTTACTTGACATGATGTCCTCAAGGTTCAGTCAGTGTTGTAGTGTGGATCAGAATTTCATTTCTGTTTAAAGCTGAATAATATTCTATCGTGTATACAGGCCACATGTTGGGTATCTATCCATCCACTGATGGACACTTTAATTGCTTCTAACACTTGTCTATCATGAATTCAGTCTATTTTTTATACACTGGAACCTTTTAAAAAGCAGCTGTTCTTTGATGATCTGGTGAAAAAAGATATATTCCAACCTTCTCCAGAACATGTGGTATAATTCTTCTTTTTTAACACAACAAGTATCCTTTAGTGATAATGGTTTACTGGGGCTCATGGTTACATGTATTTGCATTTGTTGGGCACAGGACACCAACTAGGAAAGGATACCCCAAGTATGCTGGGTGACCTGGAAACTGATTTCAGATTAAATAAGGAAGTTATTTTCAGAAATCAGTTAAATTTCAGATTAACTGATTTCAGATTGAAATAAGGAAGAGTCCTCAGAAATTCAGTTCTGTATGCAGAACTCTATGTGGGTATTGTATTCGGCTAATGATACTTCTCACCACCAGCCCAGCTGTCCTTTCTGTCCCAGCCTCTTCACCCCTGCTTTACTGAGGATCTCCTTTTGTGAAAAAATTTGGGGAATGAGAGAGAATGGGACTGTGTGATTATGGCTTAATACAGTCACTTGGGCCAAAGGTTTTGCAGGTGGGAAGCAAAGCTGGGCCACGCAGCCAGCTCCCACTCTGCCCAGATGTTGGGGCTCCACAGAGGCTGTCCCCACATGTTGCGCTCCACTCCAGTGGGCGGAGGGCCAAGAGGGATGATCCTGTCAGAAATGTAGAATTCCTCTCCCATCTCACCCCCAGTTAACTTGTGTTTTTGTTTTTTTTTAAATAATCCATGTGCAGCTACCTTCTTTGGTGTCCCTTTCATTTTCCTCTTTTATGTCTGCCCCTCTTGTTTTGGTGGAAGAAAAAGTAAAATAAACATCAGAAACTGGAGTTCCCCTAAGAGCCAGTCTTTTCAGAGGAGTCATGAGCCCCGTGGCTTTAGCGCCAAGTGTGAATATGCTGCAAACCAACAAATGGCCACAGTCACATGGCAGTGTGTACTGTTGTGACATGTTCTTCAGCACGAGGCTTCTAAGAGGGAAGGAAAACAGGTCACTGTATGCTCTGGGTGGGATGCACCCTCTGCTTACTGGCCTTTATTATCCACTCGTCTGAGGTCAAGTCTAAAGCTATCACTCACTTGTAGGGCATCACGTATAGACTTCACAAGAAGCCAGCAGCACCCAGCTTTCAACTGTAACAAAAAAAAAACTGTTCAAGATTGGTTGAATGTGTCAGATCTTATTCCTAAAATATGATTTTACCCATCATTATCATGTTCCTATGTATTTAAGCCATGTGCTCTGTGCCAAGTCGCTTCAGTCATGTCTGACTCTTTGCAACCCTATAGACTGTAGTCTGCCAGGCCCCTCTGTCCATGGGATTCTCCAAGCAAGAATACTGGAGTGGGTTGCCATACCCTTCTCCAGGGGATCTTCCCGACCTAGGGATAAACCTGTTTCTCTTACATCTCCTGCATTGGCAGGCAAGTTCTTTACCACTAGTGCCACCTGGGAAGCCCATTATTTAAATCATAAAAGCTTCTCAATTGTTTGCAGAGCGTCTAATAAGTGATTCCTAACATGTCCTTCCCCTGGAATAAAATCTTCAAGATCAAAAAGGAAACTGGTTAAATCATCCATTTAGGAGCAGTGTGTATTTGTAACTTTGCACAAAGATAGTTAAAACATACTATATTTGAACTTGCAAGTAAAGGTTACCTGCTTAGGATGCCAAGTATGTTTTATGTAATGGTAAAGTGAGCACTCTGTTTTATGATATGAAACAGCACCTTGATAGATTTGGAATCCTTTATGCCATCTCCTTACTTCCTACACCTAAACAGTACATGATGGACAAGGTACATCAGAGTCTTTGAATCAACTAGTCTTTCCAGGAGCAAATACATCTAAACACTCTTAAGCCCTCTTCTTCTAAAGCATGATTAGTAAAAGGACAGAAAGATATGTTGTAAAAAGTGTTATATTGTAAACAATGTTATGTTAGCAAACTTAGCCCAGTTCCATGTGACCCTTCCTTGCTAATATTCTTCCCAGCTCATCACTGACAACCTTTGTAATGTATTTACATTAAAAGTAGGAGAAGAAGCTGGGATTCCATAGGTATAAGTGCTTTTCTCCTAGGAATGTTGAAGCTATGTTAATGTAGATAGAACTTGCCTGTGTAGCAACACTGTTTTCATTATAATCAGTGTCTTACTGACAACACTTAATTTGGCCTGACAATGATATCTGTCAGATTCTCAATTACCGGCAGCAACTGCAGTTCTATCAAGAAGGCAAGGGCCCCCAGTAGTGAATTTACTCTTGAAAATGATAGAAGGAAACTTTAATTGAGAGAAGCAGGAAGGTATGAGCCCTGTACGTCTAGATTCCTAGAGGATTTTCTGAGTTGGAAAAGGCCAGTTAATTTACTTCTAGATGGCTCAGTGGTAAAGAATCAGCCTGCCAATGCAGGAGGCACAAGGGGTGTGGGTTCGATCTCTGGGTTGGGAAGATACCCTGGAGGAGGCCATGGCAACCCACTCCAGTATTCTTCCCTGGAGAATCCCATGGATAGAGGTGCCTGGCAGGATACAGTCCATGGGGTCACAAAGAGTCATATGTGACTGAGTGATTGAACACACAATAATAGAACCTACCTCTCGAAGTTGCCTTGAGGATTATGTTGCCTTAATACGCTTTAAGCCTGTAGAACAATGCCTTGCATCAGTAAGCATCACATGGTGCTCGGTATATAAAACAACAGTCCCAGTGACAAGACAATTTGACTTTTCTAATCCCTTCTCCTCTTCCCATTCTGGACAGAGTTAGGAAGGATACTGGGTTAGGAGGATACAGAGAGGCTTATCCATTTCTCGAAAAAGAAAACAAGCCTAGCCATTGCTCCATTTTCCAATGATTCCACCCAAGGGCTTCCCATCAGTGTAAAAAGGGGAACAGAATAATCGAGCAGCACCAGGGCAATAACGACTGGTCTCCTGAACATGTCACAGTGATGCTGAGTTAGGAATGCACTTCACTCACTGCAGGACAACCAGGCATCAGTACATCGTTTAGCGGGCAGGACCCCATCAATTTCCTGAGATAAGTTCTTTTATCTACAGATGTCTCCAGCTGGCAGTCCTGCATAAGTCAATTCCAGGGGACTGGAATCACCCAAATTCTTGGTCACACAGCACTTGCACCATGCAAAATTTACTGTCTCCTCCAGGAATGAAATTTCTCGAGCTTCTTTTATTTAAAACTTACTTACTTACTTTTGGCTGTGCTGTATCTTCATTGCTGCCTGGGCTTTATCTCTAGTTGCGAAGAGTGGGGACCACTCTCCAGTTGCCATGCGTGGGCTTCTCATTGCAGTGGCTTCTCTTGGTGCGGGCTTCCCTGGTGGCTCAGATGGTAAAGAGTCTGCCTGCAATGCAGGAGACCCAGGTTCGATCCCTGGGTCGGGAACATCTCCTGGAGAAGGAAATAGCAACCCACTCCAGTATCCTTGCCTAGAAAATTCCATGGACGGAGGAGCCTGGCAGGCTACAGTCTACGGAGTCACAAAGAGTCGGACACGACTGAGTGACTTCACTTCTTCACTTTCTCTTGTTGCGGAGCACGGGCTCTAGGGCATGTGGGCTTCCGTAGTGGTAGCATGTGGGCTCAGTGGTGGCAGCTCCCAGGTTCTAGAGCACAGGCTCCATATTTGTGGCACAGGCTTCATGGTTGCACAGCATGTGGGATCTTCCCAGACCAAGGATCGAACCCGCGTTCCCTGCGTCGGCAGGTGGATTCTTTACCACTGAGCTACCAGGGAAGCCCCCTTGCGCTCCTTGAGGACTGAGTTTTAGCAAAACCAGGACCCGCTCATCCAAGAGAATGTAAGAGTTGTTGTTATTGGAAACAACATATTGGAAACAATTATAAGCTCTGAGAAGAGGCAGGCTCCTTTCCTGAGTTTTCTTCCTCCACCTCAAGGAAGTGGTGAAACTGTCACTTCTTCCAGGCGCATCAGCCTATCATTTAAAAATGTGTCTCATTAAATTCTTAGCTTCTGGTCTAGCCTCGGTGGTCCTCCAGAGTTTCTGAGAAGGAACATGTGTCACTTCCTAGAGAAGGTTTGATTGTTTTCTTCCGTTCTCGTGTAGGAATGTCAGCCCTCTGTGAAGTGGCAGAATGAGGCCCATTTTTCTGTCCCGTTAAAGAGACCTCAAGGAGACACTCTTCTGCCGAAAGGGAAGTTTGTTAATACCTGCTGGTTCTTGTTCTTCACAGTCTTTTGAAGGCAACAACAACTATGATACACCTGAGCTGCGGACCTTTCCACCCCTTTCCACACGGTTCATCAGGATCTACCCCGAGAGAGCCACTCACGGTGGACTGGGGCTGCGAATGGAGCTGCTGGGCTGTGAGGTGGAAGGTAAGCCGCTCTGCTTCCCTAGATGTTTTCTCTCCTTTCGCATGCACTCACGGCCCTGACGGTGCCGCTGCAGATTGCCACCGTTCCCCCAAATGATCCTGCGTCTCCTCTGCCTGCCTGTGCGTGGGGCTCATCACCTGGTGAGCGGCATGAAGCAGTGCTTCTGCATCTTGCTTTTGTGGGAGTTGTTTGCATAACACTCCTCAGATTCTAGGCAGAGTGGTGTTCTCTGATCTGTTTTTAAAAAATGATGTGTTGTGAAATTCACATAACAAAATTCACCATTATAAACAAGCCTGGCATTTGTACGTAGTCATAGTTGACAGTCGCTTATGCAGTCAGCCTTTGTCTAGTTGCAAAAGATTTCTATCGGTCCAAAATGAAAGCCCCTACCCATCTAGCAGCTCAAGCAGACCCTCTCCATTCCCATCGTCTCTCAATCCCTGGCATCCACGGATTCCTTGACCTTCTTGGAGTTCTTCAGAGGTCTGCATCTGGTCCAGGTTTCTGTCTGCAGTGCTGACTACCATCACATACTAGCAGGAAGCAGCATTTGACAGACCAAAACATTGAAACACTGTCTTGGATAAATTTCTCAGACGGCTGCAGAGAAACCAAACTTTACATCACATAATGTATGTAATGTACAGTGGGGTCTATTTAAAGATATGACTGCATAAACTTAGGTTATCATAGAAAGGTCAGGGACAAATTCAGTTCTCACATTGACCCCAAAACTGCACTTTCCTCTGCATTTTTTTAATCACATAATAAATGAGATGAATGTTTAAAAAAATCATATGATGGTTGCTCAGTGTACTATTTAATGCTTTTGTGCACTGGAATTCCCATCTGCCTTTGATTTGGGCATAAATGAGTAACCTTATACCAACATTTTCATCCCCCATAAAGGTCTTCCTCTAGGTTAGCGCAAAGAATGGCTATTGTTGGTACCCAGATGTTAATCCATTGAGCATATGCTCAAAGTTGTTTGGAAGGATGCTTTTTAAATATCACCTTCTTGGGATTTCAAAATTATTTGTGTTTCAAGCTACCCAAATATAATTACATTCCTGAGCACATTAAATATCATAAAACATTTCTTAGGCACTAAAGAATTTTAAGCTATAACTCACCATCCTAGTGAATAATTCATAGCTGCTTTCCTTATGTGTTTATTTAAAAGCAGGCCATTATCTCCCATTCTTTACTGGGTAGCTGTTTCCATATCTGTGGCTACGTCCCAGGACCCCTGAATTATCCCGTCACTGTCAACACAGACCACGAATGACCGTGTTCCAGGACATTGGCAAAGACGCCTAGGAAAAAGAGGGTGGGGGCAGACCGAACCACCTGCAGACACGTTCGTTCAGTGAGCTGAGCAGTGTGGTCATCTGGAAAAGGGCCTCTGCGGCTCTGATGCGGGACTTTAGCCTGGATTCTGGGAACCCGCACTGATTTAGGAGGTGGAATGAATGGATGGTTGAAAAGACCGGGCCTGGTGGCAGTTTGCCTGTGTCAACTCTGTGCTGAGGTCGCGACGGCGGTGAAGGGATTGACTACAGATGTTCACAGACACTCAGCAAAGTGGGGAAGTTGCCCCGAGCCACGTGCGGAACCAGCATCCAGGGAAAGAACTGTCCAAGCTTTTTAACACAGTTGGTGAAAGGGAGTGTTTTTCTTCTTCCTTCAAATGATTAACAGGCCCTTATTAAATATCAACTTTGTACCTTGTTCTACAGGAGATGCCTAAAGGGATAGGAAAAAAGGATGAGGTACAACCCAGCCATCTCTGGGCCTCCAGCTTATTTGCGGCTGGGGCTTATATTTAAGAAACAATTAGAGGACCACAGAAGATAAAATATTTTCAAGTAGTAAAATTGGGACAACAAAATGACTCACTTTGGGGATTTCCCTGGTGGTCCAGTGGCTAAGACTGCATTTTCACTCCAGAGGGCATGAGTTCAATCCTTGGTCAGAGAACTAAGATCCCATATGCTTATCCCCACACTGCAAAAAAAAAAAAAAATAATTAATTAAAAAAAAAAAAACTCACATTTTACTTTATTCAGTTTAATCCAGGTACTACCCTGGGCAACGTCCAATGTAAAACTCCTTCTTTATAAATACCACAAGGAATGTGGAAAAACCAGCAAAATGAATAGAGAGTTTAAAAGCGGCACAAAACCAAGAGCAAAGGCAGTATAGCAAAGACAAGCATCAAGATTGCTGAAGAGGACGCTATTGATTCGCTGTTAGCTATGAGCAGAACCCAGAATCTGTGTGTACAGAGTTTACAAAGTCCAGTCTGTAGCCTAAACAGTGTGGACATAACCTATATGTGGTGATTTCCTGGCGATTATTGGTGTGTGTCCCGGGCAGTTGAGGACGTCGAAACTAGGTATGTTTCTCCATTTGTTATAACTCTGCTCAGTCCTTCTGTACAATGAAAAACTGTGTCAAATTTTTATTGAGAAAGCAGCAGTTACCAGCACATTCCAACCGGCCAGGAGCTATTAGAGAACAGACCCCCACCTCCCCCCCACCTCCCCCCTACCTCCCAGCATCTTGTCTGGTTCTCAGACATCAAGAGAACTGTCCATTATCTGAAGTCTTCTAAAGTGAAATGTAATGCCGAAAACTGTAAAATATTAAACAGATTGCAAAAATGAGGGACAGGCTGAAAAAAAAGATGGAACTAAATGTAAAGAACTTCAAAAGCAGTCTTTGATTAATGCTGGCTACTTTTCAACTACAAACTCAGAACTATGGGAATACCTGCCGGGCAGTGGAATGTGGTCCCCTGGGAGTTAAGGTAACATGACCCCCGGGAGCTCCCAGACACCTGCTCTGGAGGGAGCACTCAAAAGCCCAGACGCTTACTTAGAGGGAAATGGAGTCACTGTGAAAAAAATAAATAAGAACAATATTGTACTAAAAGTGAATGCTGAGAACTCCCTTCTAGGAAAAAAATTACAAGATAAACTGAGTGAATATCAAGAATATAAAAGAATTCATGACAATTGATTCCTCTAGCACCTTGAAAATGAAAGGAAAAACAGTTCAAGCAAAACCTCTATCATCAAAATTCTCAACTCCAGGGTCATGAATAAATAACCGGTGAGAATTCAGGAACTTTTCAGAAAAAGGATGTTTATGGAGATAACAACGTATGAAATGAGAAGGCAGCCAAGTCGACCAAGGAGATAGGGATCAAATACCAAAACAGAGCAGTCCCCAGTGCCTTATGCAAAATCCAAGTATCTTCCACTCCTGAAAGGGAGGCAGGCACACCACCCTCCTTGCTTTCCTATGGCAGATTAAAGTTTTCTGCAAAAGCATTAGCAGAGTCAACAACCAGGGGGCTGGAGAATACATTTCAGAGGTGTGAGAAAATAATCCTTGGATCTCGTTTCAGCACCTACAGCTGGACCGACCACTCCCAACGGGAACCTGGTAGATGAATGTGATGACGACCAGGCCAACTGCCACAGCGGAACAGGTGATGACTTCCAGCTCACAGGTGCAGAAACCATCTTCATCCCATTGCTGTGGCATCTCAGTTCACGTTGTAGTTGAGACCTGCTCATTAATGCCTCTGTGTGTGTGTGTGTGTGTGTGTGTGTGTGTGTGCGCGTGTGTGTGAAAATCCTCATGGCACTAGGCATCAGGGTGGAGGGAACTTTGCCAGAACACATGCATCTTCATCTCCCCATGTCATCGCGTAAACAAATTGTTCTTCCAAGTCACAGCCATCCGAAACAGTAATTTTAACCATTTCAGAGTCAAGGGCTGGGATTGTCCTCATTGAATGAATAAGAATTTCTCCATGGCTAAATGTATCTAAGGTTGGGCTTCCCTGGTGGCTCAATGGTAAAGAATCTACATGCCAAGGCAGGAGACCTGGGTTCAATCCTTGGGTCAGGAAGATCCCCTGGAGGAGGGCATTGCAACCCACTCCAGTGTTCTTGCCTGGGAAATCCCATGGACAGGGAGCCTGGCGGGCTGTAGTCCATGGGGTTGCAAAAGAGTCGGACACAACTTAGTGACTAAACAATAACAAACAACAATATGTAACATAAATTGATTCTCATCTTCAACCCTCACCCCCGACCCCAGTAACACATGCTCCTCACACTTGAGAACATTTATTTTCGAACAGGAATCAAAATGTTTGAGTGGATCCTTCATCCAACTAGTTGATGAAATTAGATTTATATTTCAACTGCAGCTTTTAAGTTAGGATTTTGTGAATCATTTTACATTAAAATTTAGAAAGCCAGAATTCGTTGCTATTTCACATCACCACTAACAGATCTATCAGGGATGACATATACCGTGTGCCTCACTGACTCGTTTAGAGGATGACTCCATAATATTCTGAAATCCTAAAAGCTAGAAAGTGACCTTCTCTTCCACTTGGACTGGCAGAGGAAACATTAAGCAGATGGAGAAGTCGGACTCCACCATTTGGAAATTGGCCAAAGTCCTAGAATTTTCACCCTATTGTTGCCAAAGGTGCTGTGGGACCTTTATTGCTACCCAGGTCAAAGCACAGTTTTTTTACAGCATCTGATTCTCATTTTACATTAAACAGCAGCCCTTGGGTGCAGTCTGTGTTTTTACCCAGAAGGGACTCTAGAGAGCCCATGTAATTCATTTCCATGGGCAAAACTGAAGGTGTTCCCATGTAACTTCATAATAGTGCCATGTTAGTGGCTAATGCATTAATGTCAAATCTGGAGGGACCCCCATTTCCAATTACTTCAGAACCTCTCCTCTGAAAGAGCAAGATTGCTCTGCACTCTGAAATGGAATAAAGGTAAAAATCTAGTGGAGAAGTTTAGTACCATGAAATGAGTTTACATTTAAATCCCTCCTCCTAGGGTTCTCTCCCTCCAAATTTCCAGAATAATCGCTTACAGTCAAATGACCAATAAATATTACATGGCTATGGGCTTTTGAAAACAAATCTTGTGTATAAGTAGCCACAAGCCACAAAAATTACTCTAATTAAGACCGAGGCCTTTTCTCTGTAAGATGTCAAGCTCTAGCTGAAAGCCATACAGCTAATACGAAAAACAAGAGTACTAGCCTGTGAAGCAGGTCCTATAGAACCTTCCCAGGTCGCCTGTAAACACTCTCTGCAAACCTCAGGCTTTTTGAAAACCTAGTCACACATCCCATCCGTAGTGAAAATCCTCATAAAAAGGAATGGATACAGTCGTCAGAGACTCTTCTGTTCAATTACCCTCTGGAGAAGAGGTTCTTTCCTTTATAAACCCTAAAGTGGTCAGTTAATATTGATTAGAGTCAAAGCCTCAGATTTACTCCTCGCGTCAGAACAACCAACCTTCTCATTTTTGCATTGCTTCATGACTGAATCAATTGAAACCTAAGCCTTTGAATGAAATAGGGCAAGTCTGTTAGCCTCAAGCAAACTGTGGATGGCACCCAAGTTGCAAACCGCAGAAAATGGGTCATTTCCAGTGGAAACACTGACAATCCTTTAAAAGTACAAGGTGATCATTTATTTACAGTGTTTAAACTCATTTGTTGAATAGAATCATTTATTTAGATAGAAAAAAAAAAAGGTCATTCTCATTTTTTTTATGTACTATCCTGGCCCCTCAAAAATGTCATTTTCTCAGGCCAGCACATTTGTCTTAATAATTTGATCACTAGGTGCATATAATAAGAACTTCTAGGGGTACTGATAAAGTTAACTTCATTCCACCATTAAAAAGAGGTGATCCTTTAACCAACAAGAACCTACTGTACAACGCAGGGAACTCTGCTCAATATTATGTGACAACCTAAATGGGAAAAGAATTTGGAAAAGGATACAGGTACATGTATAACTCAGTCACTTTGCTGTCCATATGAAATTATTGCAGCTTTGCTAATCAACTACACTCCAATATAAAAGAAAAAGTTAAAAAAACAAAAAGAAAAGGTGATCTTAGAAGGCCTTCTCATGCTTCGTGTTCATTTATTGCATCATGGCCAATTTGTCCTTTTTTAAAAGTTTATTTTCCTCCATGAAGCTCTATGTTAGTCTTTTCTGAGGATGGATGTGCTGACAGGTGCCAGTGATTGCAGGCAGCCTAACCCTCCCCCACCCCTGCATCTTTTCCCAGGTAGCATCTTGCCTCCTGGACGTTTCGGTCACAGCTGCAAACTTGGAATGCTTGGTGCCTTGAAACCAAACCAAAAATACTCTTTTCTTTCACCCTGATGGGTGGAAGCCTAGAGATTGGGATCAGTGTTCTCTTAAGGTTTGGGTCCTAAACACAGATGATGTCACTTTAACATCTTCTCCCAGGGGTGACTTATTTGGACATGGTAGGAGATAAGTATTGTAGCCAAATGCCCATTACCTCTAAACAACACTGAATTCCAGGTGAACTGCACCAAATACATGGAAATAAAGAGAGATTTCACTCTCCTTTGCTTGCTTGCCAAGGTGAAAATTCACCCTTGAAGTTCCTCATTTGCAAATGCCTTTGAAGTCATTAGATAATACAATTGGCTTCAAAGGCACCAGGAGGCCAGATTTCACATTGGATCTGTGTCTACCCGGCAGCGGAATTTGGCTCCCAACCTCTCACAAAATTGACAGTGCGTATCGGTTTTAAAAAGTGAGTTTTCACCTTGAGTCTTTCTCCTGTAAGACCACTGGGAACGGAATGCTAATGCATTCTGGCCTCCCTCCAGTTCCGCCATTACAGATTCACCTTCTTAACCCATAATATATATAATTCCTTCTCCTGGCATCTGCCTCATTGAGGGCACATGCATGTGTGACCACTCATCCAGCATATTTACTGAGCAAGGGGGGGTAACACGACTTGGTGCCGCAGTGGACGAGCTCAGAAATCTTCAGGCCGCCCCAGGAGCTCGTTTTTATGGCTCTCTGATTCATGAGCTGGGTGATTTCTGACCCGTGGGAGCTGTAGGTTAGGACCAGAGCTCAGCCAGAAAAGAAATGATCATAGTCTCTTTATTGAATGATAGTATTGAAAGGTGTACAGTGGCACCTCATAACCACCTCCAAACATTGCAGGATCGGCATGAGCCCACCCACGTCCTTACTCTGAGTCTGCCCAGGACTTTATCTCTTGGGAAAGCAAATAGATGATCCTCAACCATGATCTGCAAGGCAGATGCACATAAGGAGAAATGGCTTTCTCAAGTACCTACGTAGTAAAGAATAAGCCAGTTTTTCAAGAAGCCTTCAAGTGATGCTTGTGGTTTGGGCAAGTTGAGGAACAGGGCTTTAAAACAGAAATCTCAGGCTTCCCTGATTGTCCAGCGGTTAGGACTCTGCCACTGTTCCACCGCAGTGGATGTGGGTTCTGTCCCTGGCTGGTGAAGATCCTGTAGGCTGCCTGCTGCTGCTGTCACTAAGTCATGTCAGTCGTGTCCGACTCTTTGCGACCCTATGGACTGTGGCCCACCAGACTCCGCTGTCCATGGGGTTTCTCCAGGCAAGAATGCTGGAGTGGGTAGCCATACCCTCCTCCAGGGGATATTCCCAACCCAGGGATTGAACCCAAGTCTCTTGCCTGCATCTCCTGCATTGGCAAGTGGGTTCTTTACCACTAGCATCACCTGGGAAGCCAAAATAAATAAATAAAACAGAAGCCTCATGATAAGGGGCAGAAAATGGCTGAGCTAAGATACTTAAGCTGAGATGACAGATCTAAGTTTCCACGACATCCTTGGACAAGGAATTCCAAGTCAACCCAGACTGATTAAAGTTCACGGTGTTCAGGGCATTGTTTGTGCAGTCTTCCAGCTCCTCAGGACTGTGAAGAAATGTGTCCCCCCCTTCCACTTTCCTTGCAGCTTGTCCAAGCTACATACTGGGCGGAATATTTGTCCTTGGGAAAAATAAACAACCACAGCAGCAAAAGAAAGGAGGAATTACAGCTATCCACTTTAAACCTTCAGTTTTTAAAATAGATGGTGGGGACCAGCCTTGCAACCCCCTCCCCTCCAAAAGGCACACATCTGAAACCTTGGGAAACTATTTGAAGCTTAGAGGTCTGAGTCAAGTTTAATACTCAAGTCACTAAGGACCTTGGGAGGCCTTTGCTTTTCATTGTTGCCATTGTGAGCATCGTCGATTAGTCTGGGAGTCAAGGAATGCCCTTGGAAGGAAGTCTGGAATTATCCATACTGTCTAGATGCTTTATGAATAAACGGGTAAAAAATAGTGGTTTATTTGAACTTGGTGTGGTGGTGAGCAAAAATTTGAGACAGTTACTCTAGCTGGAATTAAAAGAAGAGTTATTTAAGGGAACTGCTAGCCTTTAACAGACGCATGTAAGAGCATCCTCTGCTGTGTATTACTTATCATCCTGCTTTTTCTCATCTCGTATGTTACTCTTTCTGTGTTTCAGGTGGTACCACTGTGCTTACCACAGAGAAGCCAACCGTGATAGACAGCACTATACAGTCAGGTATCAAATACCAAAGAGAAAATTGATTCACATATGTGTGTCTTTTCCCCCAAAATAGCGCATCGCTATGCTTCTCGGATTCCATTTCCCATCAAGTCCTAGCAGAGATGCCACCAGCATCTGGTGCCCAAGCAGGAGCCATAAACACTGCTTCCCTTTCATCCACATGTATATGCAGCAGGGAGGGAGATTTCCTCCCCCATCAGTCATTGCCAAATGGTGACAATCCCCACTCTCAACGGAAGGAACCAAGGAACATACTTTGTTTAAACGCAGCACATCTAGGACACGGACTGTGTTTGCAAACTCGGGAGAAGGAAATCTCCCAGGCAGCAGCCTGACTATTTATTTTCATCGCTACTCTGCAAATCAGAGACAGGCGAAGTTTGTCAGTTTTGCCTGCCACGGAGCTGGCAGTTTTACAGCCACGCTTCCAGTGGGTGCACCGTGAGATGGTGTGCGGGAAACCAGGGCTGGAGAGGAGAGCCCTGAGGCGGACTACCTCTACATCCTTTTTTATTAACACATGATTGACCGGGGGGGTTTTGAAAAAACTTAGTCTTGCCTGGAGAATCCCATGGGCAGAGAAGCCTGGTGGGCTATAGTCCATGGGATCAAAAAGAGTCGGACACAACTGAGCAATGAACTACAACAATAGACATATTAATATGTCTCTGGTCAGTAAGTTGTTCACAGAGTCCTGTGATAACTTTTAGAGCTTTGCTGTTGATCAGGGCCCAGCCACAGGGAAATGGTGGCCTCCCCCTCACTCTTTTGTATTTCGATAGTATTTTTTGAAAATCTTCCCCACAGACATACACGAGGGGAAACAGTACATATAAGCAATCAGAGGTTTTACATACCTTAAAAGTTAACCATTAGAGAAAGGTGAACAGGTCAGCTCACCAGCTTCTCCCATTTCCTCTATTGAAGCCTGCTCAGCCTTGGCCTCCACGGTCGCTTATTAACAGGGCATGTGGTGTACATCAGTGTTTCCTCAACAGCAGACCCTTCCCAGCCAGCAGAAAGCAGAAAAGACTGCTCTAATTAGCATGCTTCCTCAAAGGGTGCTGTCACTCTTGACCTGATTAAACTGCAAAACAAACCTCCCTTCAGTTGAACTTAGCCCCAGTTTTCCCCATGGTTGGCCCTGGGTGACAGACTCCCTGCTACCACTGAGCTCATTGCTGTTGTTTAGTCGCTAAGTCATGTCTGACTCTTTTTGACCCCAGGGACTGTAACCCACCAGGTCCCTCTGTTCATAGAATTTCCCAGGCAAGAATGCTGGAGTGGGTTGCCATTTCCTTCTCCAGGGGATCTTCCCAACCCGGGGATCAAACCCAAGTCTCCTGCAGTGGCAGGAGGGTCCTTTACCACTGAGCCATTGGTAAAGCCCACCACTCAGCTAAGACACCCCCAAATACCGAAGATGAAACTAAAGAACAGGGTTCAGCTAAATCTTCACAGTTCAGGAGTCCCCCTCATACCTTTTCAGATTATAAATGTGGCCTTGAGGGATTGGCTAGCTGCCTTTTGTTCACTTCCCATCTTCCCTGATAAGAAATGTCTTCTTTTTTCCCCACTCAGCCCCATCTGGGTGGTTTTCTGTGGGGTAACTTCCTGCAAGCTCTTTACGACTGTCACAGGGGATGGGGTGAGGTGAACAAGTGAAGTTCTAATAATGTAACAAACATTTTAACTGTTACTCTAGTTTTTCCTCTTGCCAAAGAGTTCATTACAACCACTAGGAAGCTGCCATCTAGCTTGTTAGATCTCATCTCTCTGCTTGCATGTCAGAAGAGCTAGGGATCATCAAAACACAAGAACAATCTGTGAACAATAGCCCAAAATGAGAAGACTCCCACTCCATGTTGGAGGTCTATGTTATCAGAGCAGGAATGGCTTTGTGAACTTTCAATTCACGGCTCAAAGCCATTGGCATGATGGTTACAGAGAGGAACTCCAGAGCAAACAGTCGTCTCACAGAGTCTACTGTGGTCAGAGGGTGGATATACAAATCATGAACCAGTAAGAAGTCAACAGACCGAGAAGATGGGGGACTAGTGTCCCAAAGAACGACGTTACCTGAGATAGAACTGAGGCTTCATTCATACTAAAAAGGGAGAGGGTACGGCTGGTTCTTGCGAACTTGGTGCTGGGATCCTTTGTCCTTGCAGCTATCCATGTAGATCTGGTCACAATGTTCCTATAAAGCCCCAAGAAGACAATTCATTATTTTCTGTTCTGCAACTTTTTGTCCATATATGAATAGAAATGTGTTATACCTTTAAAGGTCAGAGCCTTGAGAATGGGCTCTCCTGTATATATCAGACTGTAGGCAACATTCTTTTACAAAAGGTGCAGAGCCAGCATGGCTAAGCTCAGGCAACAGAGCACAGAGTTTAGAGCTAAAGGAATACATCCAATATGCAGTCAGGTTTGTTCTCTGTTACAGAACCACAGATCTTACTGATAGGGATGGTCTAGTCTATGGTCAGCCCAGAGTACTTTACAAGTTGCCTTGGTTTCCTGTTTTTCCATTGTCTGAGTCATGAATCTTGTTCTCTTCGTTTGTATATAGTGAACTGTCTATGTTTCTTGAGGAGTTCTGTTCATTGTCATCTCCTGGCTAAGCCAATGCTCAGGAGCATGCGTGGAGTCAGAAAGCAGGTCTAACTCTGAGGTTTCCCCTGCTCATGGTCAGCCCCATCTACTGATACCTGGATCCCCACTGTCCTGCAGGCACCTTGACAAACAGCAGCATATCAGACCTTAAACTTTCATCATCATCTGATTTTGCTGAAGCCACTAGAGATTCAAGCAGAGCCTGAAGATTTCATGCTGAGGATTCTTCTCAATATAATATGTTCAGTGGGCATATAATACACATATGCTATCTGGGTTGTCATCAAATGCATAAAAGCCTGTTAAAGCTCTGCCAGGAACTGATGAGAAGCCCTGCATTTTAAATCCATCTTCCCCTTGGCAGAAGGCTCTTACCCTCCAAGGATCCCCAAACATTCTCTAAATCAGTTCAGAGTATGTTCATGACCCATGGTTACATGGACCCAAGCACCTCCCCTTATTTTCAGCCTATGAGTAAGCAAGCTCACATACCCAATAGAAGTTCTGAAGACGAGATTTGAAAATTAAATCCTTGTGCATATATGGTGCTAATGATGTAACTCTGGGCAAGCTAGGTCCCACAGGCACAGCTGGTGCTGGCTCACAGCGGCTATAAATTTGTTTTAAGTTCAGAATATTGTTTCCTGCTATTTTTAAGAGTCGAGAAGGGATTTAGCCAGATTATTCCCAATGAATTTAATGAGAATTGTGCAGCCATGGGGCCTGGGTAGTATTTTGAAGATTGAAAGGTCACATGGACATTGTCCTGTATACTAATTTCATTTGTCCCTTTGCTTTTTTCTCTTTCTCTGCCCTTTTCGCCTCTGCTTCTGTCCTTCTGTCTTTCTCTTTCCATTTCTAGAAATGTCTGTGTGTATTTTTGTGAGTTTAATAGCCTTTCTAGCCAAGCTTGAATCTTCAGCATTGAGCCTTTCTGGCTCCATGCCCATCCCCTACAAAAGGTACTGATTTTTTTAAAAAAAATTTATTCTAATTTAACAAGATTGCCATAAATTATATATGATTGAGCCAAAGAGATAAGAGTAGTAAAATATGAAAAGTTTGAGCAGTCACTGTGTAAAATTCATAGATTGGAAAGAACAGTGGAAGATAAAGGTTGACTTCCATTCACTGGAACAGGAGATGTCAAAATTAGTCTTTCAGGCAAAATTGCCCTCTGTCTTGGCCACAAAAATACCCAAGTTCATTTTATAACACTGCCAGAATAGTAATAGTCAAATTATGGATGGTGTGGTTTTCTGTAAATTATACAATAAATTTAAAGTATTACCAAGGCAAATGTTACCAGAAATGTGTATGCTGTAATGACTGCCCTCCTCTCTGTGTAGGTCTTATAAATGACATTTAAGGAGAAAACCTAAAACCACACACATATTAATATTTTCCAATATTAACAGTTTCTAACACAAGATTACACAACAGCACATTCCAGGGCCGTGGGCGTTGACATCCAAGGTTACTCAACTACTCCTTCACTGTTGGCTGACTACATCTGCAAAATTCAGTCATGCTGTACAGAAGGGCGGGTTTTGGAGAGGCTTTCTCATGCTTTAAGAAGCCCTGTTTCATGGTTATGATGGACTAGGCATAAAATATGTATCTCCAGTGACACTACCGCTGTGAAATATAGCCCTTTGCACAAACTGAAAGTGCTCGTGTTATACACATCCCATGAGTTACTAGGCTTACTTTCCCCAGCTGGCCCCGTGAATCCTTTGGCGGGTCACACTGTCATTGGAAGGGAGAATCCATCTTGCTCAGTTTTGACGATGCATGTGGTGCCTTCCTTCCAAAATTTCACATTAGCATTTGAAAGGAGTTCCTTGGAAGCTAAAAAATGCAAAGTAAATCATTCTTATCTGTTCAGTAAATCATCCCCTTACAGGGCCCCCAGCCCGCCATTGTTGAAGTGGGGGAGGGGCAGTGGAGCCCAGACTCAGAAGACAGCAAGATACTTGTATTAAACACTTAGACAAACTTAAAGGAAAGACCACAGTGAGATCGGCTCTCAGCCCGACCTAACACAGCGTAGAATCTCATACTTCCCTTTTGCTACAGAGAGACTGTTGAGACTTGTATTTTAGATCAGCGGGCAAGCTGCCGGGGGCATCTTCCGTCTCGTCTCAATGCTGCCATCTTGTGGACACCTAACTCAATGAGAAGCAACGACCCTCAGAGAAAACAGCCCCTATTGTGTGTTTCATTCTATATTCAGGAGACGAGTGGGACTGGCAGAAGCAAGAGAATTTTATCTTTAGGATTATTTTTATTGTTAGCTCCAGTTTACCAAAATAATTCCAAATATCAAAGACTTCGTTTTCCCCATCCTTAAAAAGTTAACTAACCAAATTCCCCCAGCAAAAAGGTTGAGTAAAAACTAAGGCTTACAAGTTAGGGGAAAATAAAACAAACCCATAGTCAAATAGCACTTTGTAGAACACATGAAAAAAATCATTCTTGAGAATCCCTTCACGCTTTCTTTTTAGAACCCAAAGGAAATATTTTGAACATTAAAAAAATATACAAGTGGGTACCTATTCAAATATGCTTTGGCTTTACTTGACCTTACATTGCGGTTTTAAGTGGGGCAAACAATTTATATGCAAATCTGAAAATTCACTAAAGAAGCAGTGATTTCCCACTTAAAATTAATTGACCTGATATAAAGCACAGAAGTTTAAAAAAAAAAAAAAAAACCTTACGAAATGCTTCAGAGATCTACCAGTAAAAACCTGGAGCATAAGCTGGTGTGTTGAGAATACAGATAACCTCCAGGGTGAGATATTCAGCCAAGTCACGTTTCTAGACTTTGGAGGTTCATGGGTCAGTCTCTAATTAAGATTCTTTTCATTGGTGGATATCAATTTATATGACTATCCTCAAGAGTAGAGTGTCTTTTATATTAAATATTGTGGAAATAAGGAGAATGCTACAGATGTAATAATACATGCTTTGGGAAGTAACCTTCCTGGAAATTTTATGTACCAAGTTGACAGGCAGTCCATAATCTTTTTTTGAGCTGGATCCAAAAAAGAAAAAAAAAGTTACTAAATGTGATGTTGCAAGCATGTGCATCTCTCCATGCATCTTTTGCATTCCTTGGTAATCCTAGATGTTGTGGCTTTCCTAGGATTTTTGAATAGATATTAAATTATATAAATCGTGCTTTCCATGAAGGAATTAAGGACCTTTCTGACCTAAATGATCAAATGTGTCTTTCTCGTCTGTTTCTTCCTTTCCACCCACTGAAGAGTTTCCAACATATGGTTTTAACTGTGAGTTTGGCTGGGGTTCTCACAAGACATTCTGTCACTGGGAACATGACAATCATGTGCAGCTCAAATGGAGTGTGTTGACCAGCAAGACGGGACCGATTCAGGATCACACAGGTAATGGAGGGTTCACTGTGGCCTCATTTCTTTAAATTTGAGAGGGTGTTACTGAGGAGGGTTGCTGGGGTCTGTGCGTTTAGAAAATACTACAGATCATTCACTTGTGCTTTTATTTTCTGGAATTAAAAAGATGCCCTTCCCTGGTAGAGAGTCTTTTAGGCCACTTAGTGGAGAATGCTAAATAAACTTAGCAACAGGTTGACCCCTGTCGCTATTAACGGGTCAGGTTACTATTCAGGTTACCCCTGAATAGTAACAAACTGGGCAAATCAGTGTGTGTGAATTAGGACCTGTTTCCTACTCTTCCTGAACTTTTTTCATGAGACATGTCAAACATAAACAAAAGGAGAAAAGAAATAGTAAAATGAACCCTCTCTGTCCATAACCCAACTTCAGCACTCATCAGATCCTAGGAATCTCATTTTACCTCTAGCATCCTGACTCTGTGATTCCAAATCACTCCTGTGATTTGGAAGCAAGTCTAGACATAGATAGTGTCATTTCATTTATGGCCTAATGCTTACTCTCTTGACCCTCGGAGTGGAAGTGGATTGGGGTCAGGAGTTGATATCTTGTTCTTTTGAGGAAGATTATAATCATTCTCTCTGAGCAAGGAGAAACCTCGCCACACCCCAGCCCATGCCACCTCCTGTCTTACTTTCCTTCTAAGATTTATTAGGGTTGGGGTGCACAGAGAGCTGTCAGCCACTCTAGGACCTCTTACCCATTGCTATCCTCTTTTCCTCCTACTCATTACTCAGCTTGAGAGATGGACTAAAAAACCATCAATGTCCTGTAAAAAAAAAAAACACACATGCATATACTCATACACACAAAAAAAACACCAACCCACAACCTTCCAATCAGTGATACCGACAACACTGCTTGTTCAAGTCATGGTTCCCAGAAGAGACCCCAGAGGGGCATTTGCTGAGGCTGAGACATCTCATTAAGCCCAGGTCCCCCTTGATGAGTGAGCCAGTGGGCTGATGGACGGCCAAAGGGTCCTTCATGCTTTTCCCACTTGGTTGTTCACTCTTCCTCCAGTGAATACAACCATTAAGGAGGTTGAATAGGCCTTTTTCCATCACGGCTACCTCCTTTCCTAATAAGAATGACAGGGAAATTGGATAAAATTGAACTCCTTCAATTGTGAGACACTTTCAATTGAATCTTAAGACAAGCAGTTTTAGAAAACTTAAAATACTTTGACTGTAAATGGCACTGTATGTAGAAATGGCACCAAATTAACCAAATGCAATTAGCTGAAATGAAGGCAGTAATGGTGGAAAAATTGATGCAAAGTGAAGCAAAAAGGCCCAGTAGGATCTGACATTCAAAGGAGGTTAAAAGCTACGTTAGCCAGAGACAAAAGCTAAAAGGCTTACAGAAGTACAGTGCTAATTGAGAAAACGAAGAGAGAGTTCCTGACCTAGAATGCGATAAAACCCCGAAAAGAAAAATATCAGCGCTTTATGTGTTGGAGTGTCAGAAAAGGCAGGCGTGTCTCAGATGAACGGCTGAGACGTGCGAATCCTTCAGAAGCATTTTTCTCTTTTGTCCTCCCGGGAGCCCTCCAGGTCCACCCAGACCAGAAAGAGCCCCCGCAGCACTAAACTTGCAATCATTTGCTGAGTGAGCTGGGTGAGCCTGGCATCTGAAAGGCAGAGACTTGTTAACATGAAAAAGTCTGGATGAAAAGAGCCCCACACACAGGATACGCACACACAGCCTGCCACAGCTCGTGTGCGGCGCTTTGCAAATTAGACGTGGAGGCTTCTGAAAATGAACAGTATCTAGGTAAAATAGTCTGTGGCCCGATTTTGAATTTATCAAAGGGATCCCGATTGGTTTTCTGCATCTGACCTCTAACGATGGAGCTGTGTCACTTCTTATAGAGGATTCCCCAAACCCGTGGCAGATGCTGGGAGGGGCACGGGAGATGCAGGTAAAAAGGAGGGAGTCCAGGCCTGGGGGCATTCCCAGTCTGGTTCTGGGTGAGAAATGGCTCACCCAGGCCATGGGATGAGGTGTCCAATGGCAGGGGGAGCGGGGGTGGCAGAAGACAGCACAGGAGGGAGCAGAGATGCAGGCCTGGCTCGGGGACCAGCTCAGCCAAGCATCCTCAACTTCCTTCTTCTCCACACGATGGGGGCAAAGGGGCAGAGGCAAGGCGGGGGAAGGTTTTACCTGCCTGTCTTGATGGGCTGAGAGAGGTGGCACCATCACACAGACAGGTGACTATGATTAGGTAAATCAGTGGGAGGAAACGGGGTCTACACGGTCCAGGAGAGACGGAGAGCGCACACATTCTGCCGGGGCTGTGGCTTCATTTCCCACCCTCCTTTCATTATCCCACCCACCGGTTATATTAAGAGTGCCGAGGACCCTCTCAGTCAAGCAGCCAGGTGAGGGAGGAAGACAGTGGTCAAGGACACATCCACTCCACCCAGACGCTGCTGACGCAGGACGCGCCCACATGCACGCAGTGCAAGGGCAGCTCCCAAACATGCCAGCCCCTGGGCAGCACACAGAACGCCCCCCTGCCCACAGAAGCTCGCCATCAGATCCACGCTTTCATCAGGGGCGGCGTTCGAGGAGCATTTCTATTTGCAGAGCAAACAGTGAAACATGAGTTGTGTGTTTAGACCAGGTGGTAGCAGGAGGCAGTGCTCCCACCGGGGGTCATTAACAGCCGAGCCGGGAGTTAGTCCTCCAAGCTCAGCAAGCATCTCCGTTGCCGAAATGGCACATTCTAATAAGCCTCAGAAAAGCAGCCTCTCCGCTCCTGGAACCAGAAGCCCACATCAAACAAGAGTGGGACTTACAGTTGACTTTCAAGCTCTCAGGTGTATTTAAGGAACTTATTAATATAAGCCATTAAAATAAACTAGGATAAAAGAATTGGAATTTGGAGTGGAGGTGGGGGAAAATTGCCAGATTATATGGACAGACAGCAGCTTCATTGTTATCGGGCAGTTATAGTAACCAAAGCAACATCCACCAGAAGTCTTCCTGCTCCAGTGGTAAATAAATAAGAATACATCTAAATATTTACATTCACTCTCTGTGTTCACACACGTGCTGCTCAAGTCTTCAAGCTGCATGGAAATAGGTCTTCCAGTACATCCGATCTGCTTGCAATGGTGTAGAGGCCAACACAAGTCATAGCCCATGTCCATGTGACCTTGCATTCTATATACGTGGTATCCGACTATTGAGATTTACAGCCTCCAGCATGAACATCCTTTCACAGAAGCCAAGAGCAGAGCCTTTCAATGCCAGTGAGGTTACCTGCCATTACCCACTTCACCACCAACACCACTGCACAATTGGGTTCTGGTGCTCTGCCCAGCAGAGAAGGTTTGAGAGCAGAACTCAATGGAAAAGAGACAGAGGTTCATGGATCTGGCCATTCCCCCTAACACAGCTTTTTGTCACAGCAGGAGATGGCAACTTCATTTACTCCCAAGCTGATGAAAACCAAAAGGGCAAAGTGGCTCGCCTGGTGAGCCCCGTGGTTTATTCCCAGAACTCTGCCCACTGCATGACCTTCTGGTATCACATGTCTGGTTCGCACGTGGGCACGCTGAGGGTCAAGCTGCGCTACCAGAAGCCAGAGGAGTATGACCAGCTGGTCTGGATGGCCATCGGACACCAAGGGGATCACTGGAAAGAGGGGCGTGTCCTGCTCCACAAATCTCTGAAGCTTTACCAGGTGGGCCCCCTTCCCTCGGTCAGGGCAGGCAGCTGCTTCAGGGGCACTGGGTTGCTGTTTGAAAGCTATGCAAATGAGATGCGGGAATCATTCCAAAAATTATTTCAGGTGTGTCCTCAACCTGAGATACTGATGCACTGATGATCATCTAGGTAGTGTTATTTCATAGTCTCCTAGTTTACAGGCAGAGGACTGATTGCTAAGAAAGAAGGGAAAATGCTACTCTAATTATTTAGGGCTGTCACAATCAACATTCCTTTTATTTGCTGCTCTTTCCAGTTTTAAATTCTGTATCACACAAAGAAAATGTGAGGAGAAGTTTTATACCATCCCCAAGCAGTTAATACAGATTGAAGAGCATATCGCATGCTCATTCGAAATCTCATGAATTTCATTTACATGCTGTGACTTGAGCGAGCTGCACAAGCATTTGTAAACACTGTTATTTGGGACTGAACATTTAAATACTGTGAAAATGATCTCATTTTGTTAGGTGATTTTTGAGGGTGAAATCGGAAAAGGCAACCTTGGCGGGATTGCGGTGGATGATATTAGCATCAATAACCACATCCCTCAAGAGGACTGTGCAAGTAAGTATGGGTTACTGTAGAAACCAACACAGCGCTTGCTCAGGGCGTGAGTCTTTCCACTTCATGGTCTTTGTCATGCTCACTAAGACCTAGAATTTTAATGTGGGCTATAAGCACATCCTATAGATGTGCTTGCTTTGATGCAACAAGGCGTAAAGCCAGGTTAGTCTACCTTCAGCTACTGCATCATCTAACCTGGTTCACTTAGAATGTCTGGTTGGTGTCCATAGAAGTACACCAATAATGTGCAACCCAAAAATCATAGCAAAGAACAAACAATTTCCAGGCCTTGCCTAAACATTGTGATGAAAAGTGGAAAACTCAGACATCTGGATAATTCCAGATATCTCAATGTGTAAACAAAATAGGAAGCCTTTGAAATTTTTCATCACAGTGGATTTAATGACGATTACATTGTGAATGAATCATAGACAACATCATTCTTTGATTTATTATAAAAATAAGTAGAGGTTTCTGACTCAGAACAGTTGAAATGCCTCAAAAGAATAAATTAAATTTAGAGATTTTGCCTAGCATTTCAGAGTTTATGGATTTTTCTTGGCCTGGTATATATGAATAAAAGTCTTGACATAGAAAACCAATTCATACTCCCAGTTCTTGATATATAATTATAAATAGCATCACTAATGGCAATGTAATAGCACAGTAATTAGTCTTAAGCTCCATTTGCTACACTTAAACTTTTGTTATATATCATGATATAATAGGATGTTAATTATAAAAAAATGGAATAAGCCTATTGGGCAAATTTAAGACAAAGGAGGCCTGTTGGCTATAATGGGTTTTTGGTCATTTTAGCAATTTACAAAGCTTTTATTATATAATATATTGGATATATGTAGCCCCTAAAGTGGCAATAATTTGATAGGGTCGATTGAAGAAATTAGAATGAGCAGTGAATAAAGGTCTGCTTCATATTATGTAAGGAAATCTATTTAATGCCACAGTACCTAGCAAACCTTCATAGAAAAAATGATAAGGCTTAATATTTAAGTTACAACTACTTTACAAACTGCCTGGCATCCAGGTCTACACAGTTGTTAATATGTCTATTTCATATAGTTACACAGGGCCTATACTACTTTCATTCCTTTTCCAAGATGGGAAGGCTGATGGTGATGTTTTTGGAATGGGAGAGCAAACTCCACCAACTGAAACAACATTCAGTTTGGTTCAACAGGTTTTCTCTGATCACCTTCTAAGGGCAAAGCAGCATCCTAGTGCTACAGTGAATAGATAGAGGCTAAAACACGTCCCTGAGCCTTTTTCTATTTATGTGACTGGGCTGCTTAGCTGTGGTTACTGCTGGGCATTATACTCAAAAAGTCATAGCTAAAGCACTGTTAAAACTTATGTTCTCTTGTCTTTAAAATGGATAACCAACAAGGACCTGCTGTGTAGCACCGGGAGCTCTGCTCAATGTTACGTGGCAGCCTGGAAGGGAGGGGAACCTGGGGGAGAATGAAGACATGTATATGCTGAGTCCCTTTGCTGCCCACCTGAAACCATCACAATGTTGTTAATTGGCTATACTCCAATAGAAAATAAAAAGTTTAAAAAAATAGTAAAAAAAAAAAAAAAACCAACAACTTTGTGTTGCTGTGACAGTTAAAACTTGTCTAAGATAATTCTATAATTATCCGTCAAATATGTTTCCTTGAAAATTTAGCCATGGATGCTAGGATATTATCAGCTCTTTATTAATTATTCATGCATTAACACCACAAATATTTGAGTCATGGAGTGTGTTCTGGACACTGTTCTAAATGCTGCGGACATAGGAGTGAACCAGGTCCCTGTCCTCTACTCAGAATCATAAAGGACACCAGGACTCCACTCCCCCTGGAGACTTTTTTTTTTTTTTTATAAGACACAGGATGCAGTCTCTGGCCTTAACGAGCTGACATACTATATGGGAAACCAACTAACACTTAGGAAGCCGTTATCTACAAAAGCACAGGATGGCAGCCATATGTGCAGCCCCACTTCTGTTTTCTATTTTTACCAGACTTCCCCACACTCCAAATGCCAGAGTCATTTCCCCACCCTCCCCCCACTCCACTCCCCACCCCTCTCCTAAGACAACACACTCTGCTGTAGCAGGGCTTCCTGGATTTAGATCTGACTCCAATTCCCTAATCATTCAGCACTGCCTCTCTATAGCTCTCCAGTTACCTCGTGGGGTCGGATTGTGCTAAGACCTTTGAGGAAAGCCCAGCAGAGCCGCTGGTGATTAGTGTGTGTGTGTGTGTGTGTGTGTGTGTGTGTGTGTGAGGGTTGATGTAGTTTGTGTGTATTATATTTGGTTGAGAGTTCAAATATCTCTTTCACTTTTCTTTGACTTGTCAGAACCAGCAGATCTGGATAAAAAGAACCCAGAAAGTAAAATTGATGAAACAGGTAAGTTTGTCTTGCTGCCTGATTTTTAAAACATTTTACCTGGCTTTTATTATATTTATGGAGGAACTCTGGAACTCTGGCACACTAGGGTGCTAAGTGAAAGTCACTCAGTCGTGTCTGACTCTTTGCCACCCCATGGACTCCACAGTCCATGGAATTCTCCAGGCCAGAATACTGGAGTGGGTAGCCTTTCCCTTCTGCAGGGGATCTTCCCAACCCAGGGATTGAACCCAGGTCTCCTGCATTGCAGGCGGATTCTTTACCAGCTGAGAGCCACAATGGAAACCCAGGGTACCAAAGCAGTTTACATAGAATAAACACCCACCCATGTCAGTGGTACTGTGCCTGGGCTATTGTTAGAGTGCCTGATGTAGCCTTGGGAGAGGCAGTGACAGGTTCAGACCGTGTCAGGGGTAACCCCGGGGGACATGTGCTAACCTGTCCCTTCCCTACCAAGCTGAAAGAAGGGCTCAGAGGACAACGCCATGAAATACCCTCGTTTTATAACTATGGAAACAGGAAGCGAGTGAAGACTGTTTCTTACCCAAGGACCTACAGTAGTTTTCATACAGTAATTTGAAACCAACCCAAATTCTTGTGCCTGATTGAGAACCAGATATAATCTTTAAAGGACTGGAGCCCAGTGTCTGTTTAGACCACCTATTCCCAGCCTCTGCTACTGCAACCTTCGTTTTGCAGTAATGATCACAACATTGGTGACAGTGATGGTGACGATGATGCTGATGAGGGTTTATTGAGGAGCTAGTATGTTCCAGTCACTTCCTATAAGTTCTCTTGTTCAATTCTCACAGCTGTTCTCTGAGTATATTTATCCCCATTTCACAGATGAGGAGACTGAAACTCAGAGCAATGACTTGTCCTTAAGTAAGATAGGTAATAACTTCCCAGGTGGCACTAGTGGTAAAGAATCTGCCTGCAATGCTGGAAACCCAGGTTCAGTCCCTGGGTCGGTAGGATCCCCTGGAGAAGGAAATGGCAACCCACTCCAGTATTCTTGCCTGAAGAATTCCATGGACAGAGGAGCCTGGTGGGCTACAAGTTCATGGGGTCACAAAGAATAGGACATGACTAAACAACTTTCACTTCGCTTCACTTAAGACAGGTAATTAGGTGGTAGCCTCAGACTTCAAACTGATTAATTCAAAAGTGTGTTTTCTTTGAACACTGCTTTGTGATCCAGTGCAAGGCATTTGGTTGGAGTGAGGTCCTGCCCGATGTTGTTGTATTCCCAGAAGTCTCCACACCTGTGTTGGACACTTGCCCCAGCATCACTCCAAGCTGCTGCTAGCAGACTTGTACCCTGTCCATCAGCATCAGCACCAGTTGCCATCAGAAATGTGGACCTATTAATACCATAGCCAGACTTGGATTTGGTAGAGACAAATAGAGATGGTGCTGTATTCGCAGTTGATCATCTCAACACGAGGCTCATTTAGCTTAGTTACGTGGTCCACACTGAGATGTAAACTTTATTAGAGATTGTTTCAAAACAGTGTCGCATCAAGGGAGAGAATATTAATATGTCCCTGTGGCTTCTTTCCCCCTGTAGGGACTTGCATTGCATATTTTTAGTTTCCTTTGATTGGAATCCTTGTTGATCAGAACACCATTAAGTAAACACCAGGCCTGTTGCACATTAACATTCTAGTCTCATTTCTAGTATCAGGTAATGAGGCTCAGAGCTCCCATGTTAATAATTTCTCATGTTCCACTCTAAAGAAAACATTTCCCCAATGCCTGCATGCAGAGCTGTGTGACCATCTCCAGTGAAACCACCAGGGCAGCAAAGATGCTGATTATTAAATGTGTTCTGTTCAGCACAACACAGACCTGGCTTCTCGATTGGAGCCATAAACCATTTAAAATGTCAGCAGCAGGCATGCCCTCATTCTGTCGGAAAGCTCTCTCCTGATTGAGTGAAACCATGGTCGATTTGGGGGAAGACTTGAAGATTGGACTTGTGGTAGGACCACCACCCAGAAGGGCAGTTTGGGCCATCTTCTCGTGCAGGATCTGGGCATCAAACAGATGTATCAGGAATGGTTAAATCCCTGCTAGACCAGTGTGGGAAGGAGCATTTTGCAAAGCTTATAGATCTCATATCTGGCCAAGGACAATAAACACAGATTACAGTCTGATGGAGGGCGGGCTGCATAAAATCTTAATTAGATTAGAACCCAGCCCTCACTGCTTGCCCAGAAACAGTGGTTTCCATGTGCTAAGCTTTCTGTCGGAATCACAGCACCAAAGCCCCAATACCTTTCCTCCCATGCGTTGATTCCCAACAACTCTCAGACGTAAACGCTGGTGTTTCTTGGCAATGGAGGAGCCAAACCCCACCGCAGGAATCCCCCACAGGCTTTCTTGGGAAGGACAGCCCAGAACCAGATGTGTGCTCAACTTCTTGTCCATTTCGCTGTCTCCCGTCATCCGGTGTGTGAGCAGTGCTCACGGAGCCAATTTTGTTTTTCTCGCCAGGGAGCACGCCAGGCTACCAAGGCGCGGGAGAAGGTGATGAGAACATCTCCAGGAAGCCAGGCAACGTGCTGAAGACCCTGGACCCCATCCTCATCACCATCATCGCCATGAGCGCCCTGGGTGTCCTCCTGGGCGCCGTCTGCGGGGTGGTGCTGTACTGTGCCTGTTGGCACAACGGGATGTCAGAACGAAACTTATCTGCCCTGGAGAACTATAACTTTGAACTCGTGGATGGCGTGAAGTTGAAAAAAGACAAACTGAACCCACATAGTACTTACTCGGAGGCATGAAAGCAGACAGGTGAGCAGGCGAGCAGGAAGAGTGGAGCAGAGGACAGAGCTTGAGCTGGGGACCGGCTGATCTTTCACTGTTCAGGCTGGGATGCGCGTTGATGACGCCAAGCCAGGTTTTTCTCAGGAGCTTCAATGAGTTTGGCCGACAGACACGGACACCTTAGCTGTGTTAACAATCGGAATCCTGTACAGTCAAGCTTCTTTCTGTTGGTTTCATTGGAATAATCCAGTGCTGGTGTTGAGACCAAGTATGATTGACTTAATCATTCAAAGGACTCCCCCTTTCCCCTTCTCTCTCCTCTTCCTCTTCTGGATTCTTTTCGGAAACTGTGCAAAATCCAAGATGCTGGCACCAAGTGTATCTAGCAGGGCCCCTTTGACGGACACGCTACCTGCAGCCCAGTGCCCAGAATATATTCGAATCACCGCCTTTCAGTGGACTCCTGAAGCTGGCCTTGTGTATAATCGCCCGCGTCGTGGATAGGCAAAGAAGGAGTAGGATGTTTTCTGTTAAAGTATACCGTAGCCTCAGTACCAGTCTGTGTGTCAGCTCTGTTTACGAAGCAATACCGTCAGATTTCCTCGATGTTTTCAGTGTTGTACTCAACCTCGTGCTGTGAACTCCATACAGAAAACTGTGCCATCATAAACACTGCTGGCAACTGGGTGTGATGCGGACAACCGCAACGAAGAATCCTTGGCACTGGCTAGTCCACGTCCTCTCAAGTGCCTTTTTGTTTGTACTGGTTCTCATTGTGTTACATTCACCCGCCCTGTTTTTCGCTGGTGAAAGCCCTCTTCTTGAATCAAACCCTGGGGGCCTGCTGACGAAGAAGAAAGTATATTTTAGTGTGAGATGTTAGCCTCCAGGAAGGCAAGGGCTCCGAAGATTTGGCAACGTGGCTTAATCGTTCCGCTTTTTCCGTAGTTCAATTTCATGTCTCTTGACCCTTTTGTATAAAGCTGCAATATTCTCTCTTACTGTTCTTTCATATGGAATGTATTTTCAAATGTAAACTCTTTCTCTGCTAGCCCTCTGTCTTTTTTCTCTCTTAGGATTTAAGCATTTGCCATTCTTCAGAAAAGAAACTTGCAGCTTTAACCTGCTGGGAATGGCAAACAATTTTACTAGACTTTATGTTGGAAAAATAAATAAATAAGGGAAATTCCTAACTTTGCCCTCCAAAGTATAACTTTGGTTTCCTTGTTAACTGGTTAAAGTGACAGTATCTTTTTTCCTAAAGCCATTTATCTATACCAATCAAAATAATCTTTGATAGAAATGTTTGCATTTAATAGAAATAGTGTTTAAGTTGAGGGAAGAAATAATTGGCTTTCAAGTGAGACCCAAAGGGATGAAATTCCCTCAAAATCCAAAAATCAGAGATTTTTACATCCAAGTACATGAAAATGACCCATGAGAACCTTCTTGTTTTGGTATTGAGTCAGGCAAGGGAAGTGGAAGAAGGAATGGTTAATTTAAGAAAGCAACCATAAATTCTGGTGCCTGGGGATGGAGTATTTTAAGATAAGAAAGAGGAAGAAAAGGAGTAAAGTCAAAACAAATATTCTTAAAAATCCATTCAGCAGCAACCCTGAAAAAGCAGGAGACTTGGTGAAAGCTTCTAGAAACTTCCCTTGGCTCACAGTGAGAAAGCCTGCCTTGGAGCTGGCAAGACCTAAGCCTCCAATGGCACAGAGAAGTAAATGTCTTCTGAGGCAGCATGTGAATTAGCCCAAAGAAGCTTTGGTTGCTTTCCGTGTGTTTGTGCCCCGCCATGTTCTACAGAAGAACTTCCTCCCTCCCACACTGCTGTAGGTCTCACTCAAGTACATTTGTGGGGGTCACATTTGCATCATGGAGCTGAAAGTCCATTCATCCTGGTTTAATTGAAATGAGAATGCCTTTTGTTTCCAGGAAAGTATTGATCACTATGAAAGAAGAATAGATTCTAACCCCCAGGGGCATCCATTCAGCCGTTATAATCATACCCAGACGAAAGCATTAAGACTTGATTTTTTTTTTAAGGCAACAGACTTAAAGTTGTCCTCAGCCAAGGAAAAATGATACTGCAACTTTAAATTTTAAAGTATCTTGCACTGATAAATATATTTAAAAATTATATGTTTATAAAGTTATTAATTTGTAAAGGCAGTGTTACAAAATGTTCAGTTTATATTGTTTTAGATTGTTTCATAATTTTAAAAGGTGTAAAATAACATATTTTTTTCTTTATTGAGATCTATAAATCTTTCTGTAGTAAAATGTTTTCATTTTACTGGTATATTATTGCTTCATGTTTTGTACCATCATAAAATTTTGTGCAAATTTTTTTTACAGAAATTTTTATTTTCTATGACAATATGACACTTGTAAATTGTTGTTTCAAAATGAACAGCGAAGCCTTAACTTTAAATGACATTTGTATTCTCAGACACTGAGTTGCATAAAACAACCACATAGAACTGAACTGTAACTTAAATTCCAAACTATGACTACTACATTCCAAAGAAACAGTTGAATTAAACATTTTCATAAAATATCCCAAACCTGATGGCTTTTATTATATTAGCTTTGTTATTGTTAAAGAAATTGGTATTATTCCAGCATCAAATAACTTTCAAGATTTTTTTAAGTTCTTTTTTTAAAATAATATCCTAATAAGGAGAGAAGATTAAGAAAACATTTCTTGAAAGTAGAACATCAACCCAAATTGGACACTTGTCAAGATAAGGCATAAAGAATTTGGCCTTATAAGTGGAAATTTTTCAACTCTAAATCTTGTGTCAAATGTTTCTATACTCCATTTAGTAAAGTTTTTTTTTTTTTAATGAAATTCCCATATGTCTGTTGGTAAGCTTTGTTCTTATAGAAAATAGGTAATAAACAGGATAGTGTTTATGTGTGTAGCTGTGCTAAATTTCATTAGAGGGCAAAGCTAAGCATGGCATTGCAGCTGGCTACTTGGTAATTCTTAGAAAATTTTGAGTCCATCCAGGACCAAAATAACAGTAGTATAGTAATAATAATAATTACAATAACAAAGACGAGAAGGGTGGAATCAAAGCATGCTCTGTAGGATGAGTACCATTCACAAACCAACAGTTCTTTCCTTACCTTCCTCTGATTATAGGAAAATTTAATTCTGAAGTGCAGGAAATCTATGAAGGTGGACTGCTCCGCACAGCTCTTCCCAGTGAATTAATATTCCTGCTTTTCTCTGGACACTGATGTCTTTGGCATCTTCCAAGTTTTAACTAAGAAGAGAACATTTGCCCTACTCAGGGGAGTTGTAGGTTTCTCTGCTTAGAGAAAGGACTTCCCTGATGGCTCATCAGGTAAAGAATCTGCCTGCAATGCAGGAAAACACAGGAGATGTGGGTTCAGTTCCGGGATTACAAAGATCCCCTGGAGGAGGAAAATGGCAACCAACTCCAGTATTCTTGCCTGAAAAACCCCATGGATAGAGGAGCAGAGTTGGGTATTCACCTTACTGAACTTAAATTCTATTTATGTTCATGGGTGTACCCAGAAAACATGATGACTTATGATGAATCTACCAGAATTAATCCAGAGATACTTTCTGAACTAAGGGCCATAGATTCATGGGTTCTGTTTCCTTGTTTGAGAAACCTTAAACATAAATGCTTTCGACCCATTTCTTATCCTCAGATAGCAGCTAAGCTAGGCTTTTCTTCCTGGGTTTAAGGAGCTAAATCACTGTATAATTCTTCCCAAAGTCAAGAATTAAATATGTCACAAAGACTGAAACATTTAACTTAAAACAAAAATTATTTATCATTCCATCTCCTGTCTTCCCTGCTAACATATTAATCACCACTTGGGCTGGATTGTACTTTATCTTTTTGCAAATCAGCAGGATTTTGTAATACTCCATGATGTTTCTGCTTCCCGGTGATAATCAGAGCTGTCCTGTTGCAATGAAAAGCAGTTCTGCCAGAATTTCCCTAAACTCTATAACGAAGGAATCCTAAGCAGCTTTTCAGCTCACAGGTTGAGAAGCCAGAGGGAAAGGAACCTCGAACTAAGTAGAACTTAGCACCAAGAAGTGAATGAGACCCGTGTGATCTCTGGCATTATTCCAAAGAAACATTGCGAAGTGATACAAATAAGAGCATCATATTATCATATACAAGTCACTTACAGCTGTAAAGATCCTGTGAACCAATTATATCATTTCAGGAAAGAAGGAATAAACTCCATGGGAAACTTGTATGGTGATGATGCTATACTTCTTTATATTGAGAACATTCTACTTTCGCAGCAGCTCCGGGAGCTAAGCTTTGTCATTATTCCTCTTTATAAATGAGGAATCCAAAGTTTAGCAAGTTGAAGGGTGAATCCAGGATGGATCTGGTCTCATCTCCCCTTCCATTCCTCCTATCACACCATAACCCTGCCTGTATGAGCATGAGAAGTGCCCAAAGAGGGCCTGGCTACTCAAGCCAGTAGTAGCAGCATCCCCTGAAAGTCTCTTAGAAAAGCAGAGTCTCAGGACATGCCCCAGACACACCGAGTCATTTTAACAAGATCCCTGGATGACTCACATGCCCATCCGTTTGGGTCTGAGAAGCACTGACCAGCCTGCAGGTATACCATGCCAGGTTTTCCAGAGTTTACCTGGTGGTTTCAGGACACTCCAAGACAGGGAACACACCTGCAGATTTCTCAAAGCACTTTACCAAAGAGTCTGAGCAGCCTGGAAAACAGTAAAATTAGAAAATTGGAAATCTCACTCACTGAGCCTAGAAGCATGTTGCTGGTGAGGACCCTACATGTGGACTTCTCTGAGAGGAAGAGATAATGGCTCATGAAGTATGTTGCTTGATGAAACATTTAAAGTGCTATAAAGAAAAGCAAATGGGACTTGCCAGGTGGCACTAGTAGTAAAGAACCTGTCTGCCAATGCAGGAGATGTAAGAGACTTGGGTTCAGTTCTTGGTTGAAAAGATCCCCTGGAGGAGGGCATGGCAAC